AAGCCCTAAGCAGCCTCAGCCCAGTATACCTGAAGGAGCGTCTTCACCTCCACCCCACCCATCATTCAGCCCAGACGCTGAGGTCCAGCTCCAAGGGCCTTCTGGCAGTTCCCTCACTGTGAGAAGCAAAGTTACAGGGAACCAGGCAGAGGGCCTTCTCGGTGGTGGCGCCCGCCCTGTGGAACACCCTCCCATCAGATGTCAGGAAATAAACAACTATCTGACTTTTAGAAGACATCTGAAGGCAGCCCTGTTTACGGAAGTTTCTGATGTTTGATGTTTTATCGTGTTTTTAATATTCTGCTGGGAGCCGCCTAGAGTGGCTGGGGAAACCCAGCCAGATGGGTGGGGTATAAATAAATAAATTATTAGTATTAGTATTCATTTACAGATTGGGAACATGAGCTGTGATTCCACACAACTGGTGTGCGGGGCCAAGAGCCCAACTGGCCTTTCAGCCTGAGGGCCACATTTCCTTATAGCAAATCTTCCAGGGGCTGCTTGCCAGTATTGTAGAAGGCTAGAGACAAGGGCTAGGTAATATATCGATATATCATCCAAAACTGGTTTGAAGTCCATATCATGATAATGGTTTCGTGATTTCTGATGTGGCAATATATTGCGAATCATGGTGTGTGTGTGCGCGCGCACGTGCTCTGCAAAAATCACAATGTGGGGGAAACTGTGAAGCCGGCCAATGCTTCTCTCGATTTCTGCAGTCCCTGTTAACTCTGCGGGCTCAGCTCTCCCCTGCCTCATACAGGGGGCGGCGAGTCACAAGAGCAGGGGCCAGCAAAAATCATGACACAGGGGAAACCGTGTAGCCAGCCAATGCCTCTGCATAGCTCCATCCTTATTTCAGACATTGTGATGTTTCGCTGGTGTACTATCACAATGTTGAAAAACAGGTATCACACAACCCTACCAGAGACATCAGTGGGTGAAATTAGAAGCAATTGGGCTGGAGCCCTTTGGTTGAACTGATCAACATCCCATACCCTTTTAAAATGTGGCTTTGGGGGGGGGTATTATTGGGTTATTGCTTTGATTTTGATTTCATATATTGTGATCTTTTTATGTGAACCGCCCTGAGACCTCTGGGTATAGGGCGGTATATAAATTCAATAAACAACAACAACAACAAACTTTTAGACTAGGCATAGGCAAACTCGGCCTGCCAGATGTTTTGGGACTACAACTCCCATCATCCCTAGCTAACAGGACCAGTGGTCAGGGATGATGGGAGTTGTAATCCCAAAACATCTGGAGGGCCGAGTTTGCCTGTGCCTGTTTTAGACCTACTGGAAGTAATAAACATGAGTAAGTTAGGTCTGTTAGTTTCAATGGAGTTACTCGGAGTAAAACAGTTGAACGCCAACCATTTATTTATTTTTAAGACCCTAAAACAATAGTCATGCAGATGACTAATTAATGAAACTGGGGAGCAGAGGCATAGCATGGGGGAATGGGGTGGGGACTGTGGCCCCAGGCACATATTTTTGAGGGAGCACAATCAGGCATCCCCACAGCAGGCATGAAGCCCTGACAACCGAGGCCTGGAGGCAGGAGGGTTGGTCTCATGGGCATAGATTCTGAACCTGATGGGTGCAGGAAAGCGTTAGATGATTATGTGTATTGCGTCACTTAATTCAAAATGTGATTACCTAGCCCTGCTCATTCCACTGAGTGGGGTGCTAGATTGTCACCCTAAAGTCCCACCTTGGCAGCGCCACTTTATTACCTCAGAAAGGGCCCTTTTCACCTGTCACTTCCGATACATCTGGTACCATAGCTGTCAACTTTTCCCTTTTCTTGAGAGGAATCCTATTCGGAATAAGGGAATTTCCCTTAAAAAGGGGGGAAAGTTGACAGCTATGTCTGGTACTGGTCCTCCAGGGGAAGATCTTAACATAAAATATTTTTGAATCTTCGTTCTATACTTAGCAGAAGAACACGCACCCAGCTGGTAAAACTGCGAGGCCTGTATTGCTCACTCAGCAGACGTCTTCAGGTGGGGGTTGGGGATGGGGAGAAATCAATGGAACGTCTCGGAATAGCACGGCAAGGTTGCAAATGGTGCCTTGCCCGGGGTCATAGGAACGAGAGCAAGCACCTGGGACTAATTGCACTAAATAAATGAGCAATTAAGGATATTACAGGAAGACTGAAACCTCCCAGACCTCTGCCTGACCCTCTTTGCTTATTTCCATGGCAACCAGCTGCCCATCCCGGATGTCTTCCCTCCTGCCAATCAAAGCCATCATGACGAAGAGGAGGCTCTGATTTATGAAGAGACAAGAAGGGTTCAGCTTCCCTTTGAGCCAACCTCACATTTGTGGAGCGTGCATTGTGTATTCCCCCGAGATAACTTCTGCGTCCCATCTGAAAGCGGAGTAAAATATTATAAGGAGACATATGAAAGGCAGCTAACATGGTGTGATAGATGGGAGGGGGAATGAGGATTTGGGTTCAAGTTCTCACTTAGCCACAAAACTTGCCAGGTAACCCTGCGCCAGCCAAAACCACATAGCCTAACTTATCTCACGGAATTGTTGCACAGATAAGTTGTTGTCTGTATGCTTTTTATTATGTTTTTAGTGTTGGTGTTCTGTAATGTGTTTTTAATGTTGTACTCAGCCCTGGGGTCTTTTGATAAAGGGTGGTATATAAATTTAAATAAAGAAGAAGAAGAACAGGCAGGGAAGGCTATATATTCTATCCAGAGATCTTCAGACTCATTCAGAGGAAGATAAGTATGTTAACAATCCTAATCCTAAAAAGTACATTTGATTCACATTGTAAGCTCCCACAAAGGAACAATGTGCATTTACAGAGCTCATTTCTCCTCTCCCACCCTTTCACTGTAAGGGAGGTAGGTTATACAGCCATTATTACCTTAAACCCTTCCTTAACTCTTACTTTTCAAGAAGATCAAACCTATCCATTCTTAAGGAAATCAGCCCTGAGTGCTCACTGGAAGGACAAATCCTGAAGCTGAGGCTCCAATACTTTGGCCACCTCATGAGAAGAGAAGACTCCCTGGAAAAGACCCTGATGTTGGGAAAGATGGAGGGCACAAGGAGAAGGGGGTGACAGAGGACGAGATGGTTGGACAGTGTTCTTGAAGCTACCAGCTTGAGTTTGACCAAACTGCAGGAGGCAGTGGAAGACCTGGTGTGCTCTGGTCCATGGGGACACGAAGAGTCGGACACGACTAAACGACTAAACAACAACAAGACTGTCCCTCTTTTATGGAACCTGAACATACCGCTCCTCAAGATAATTGCCTACTGACACAGATGCAATGAGAATCCAGGAGTCAATTGATTGACCATAACAACAAATACCACCACCGTTATTGTTGTTTGAAATGTTCACAATTCATCCTGGTTTCAAACCTGATTGCTCATGGTTGTTTGTCTTGATTTGGTTCATTAGTGCATGGGCTGGTGTCCACCTAAGTTATACACAGAGTAGACTTTTTGAAATAAATTGAAAGTTCAATGGGTCTACTCCATTTATGACTAACACTGTACATCATTCGTAGGTTTTAAAATTGACCCTTTTCTGTCTTCTGATTGTAAAAATTCCCAGTCATAGGCTTAGTTGCCGTGAGGTTGCAGAATGTTCATGAATATTCTAACTTCTGTAAAGGAAAAGGCAGCAGGGGGAAAAGCTGAAAATAAGTGGGAATGCTTGTTCGTTAAGGTTGCTGGGAATTTGTAGCACTGTAGAGGGAAAACTACAGTTCCCAGGAAATATTTGGAGAAGCAGTGTGCTCTAAATGTGTGTTGAATATGCTTTAAATGTATAGTAGCTGTGCTAAGCAAGAAAGAAAAAGAAAGAAATCTCCAAGGGAGATCACATAAACCGAAGAGTCTCTTCATAAGCCTTGACTCAGTATAAACAGTGCTGAATGGCATTTAGACCCTGAGTTAGTGGTTTTTTAAAGAGTCTTCCTGGCAGACACTCTTTCAAAAGCCACTAGCTCTCCCGGTCTAAATGCCACTCAGCGCTGTCCCTCGGTGCACCAATTTCTAGTCATATTCAGAGTCTCTCTTTCTCTCTCTCAGTCCCAAGTGACAGACTGAGTACAGAAGCTATCCGGCCATCTCATTCATTTGCCAAATGAACAACGGCTTTTGTTGTTCCACCTGCAAGCTCTCCCCCCGCTACCCCACCCCAAATAGCGGCACATTCTGAAAACCAATTATTAAAAGCCCCCCCTCCCCTCACACACACAGCCCTCAGACAGCTGTACGGAGGGGGGGGGAGTGATCCATTAAAAATCACAAATGAACTTGGTGGGCAGGGATGATTTCAGATCAATGGTGTTTCTGCACTGCCGTTCATGTTATATTTATTACTTGCTTCACTCAGAGCGCTGGCTGGGTCCTCTGCCTGGAGAGACTCTCTCCTCTAATGGCAATTCCATTTGTGCCACAAGCATTACAGTAAGTTAAGAGTTGGCCAAGAGCAGCGCCTCTCATTTGGAGGCCCACCAGTGCGGAGACAGGAAGCAAAGAAAATAACAACCACCCCCTTGCCAAAAAATAAAAATATATCACCCTCTTTTATGTGTGAGTTTGGGCCTCTTTTTAAAAAAAATAATAATATATGTTGTGGTTTGCCAGCTGGTAAACAGTGCCTAAGGAAGCAAGGGGTTTTCTGGAAGCTTTTATCATTAGGAGAAAGGCAAAGGGGGGGGGGGAACGTTGCTATGTCCAGGATTCTAGCCAACCATGCCCTTTTGCAGAAAATTTCATTCCCAGCTCTATTGTTCACACACACACACACACACACACACACACACACACACACACTGTCACCTAGCATCAGTGCTGGATTTTAGGTATAAGCTAAACAAGCTATAGCTTAGGGCCCCATTCTCTTGGGGGCCTCCCAAAAATATACTTCTTCTTAATTGTATTTCACTATTAATATGGCAATAGGGACACGGGTGGCGCTGTGAGTAAAACCTCAGCGCCTAGGGCTTGCCGATCGCATGGTCGGCGGTTCGAATCCCCGCGGCGGGGTGAGCTCCCGTCGTTCAGTCCCAGCTCCTGCCCACCTAGCAGTTCGAAAGCACCCTTAAGTGCAAGTAGATAAATAGGTACCGCTTTATAGCAGGAAGGTAAACGGCGTTTCCGTGTGCTGCGCTGGTGCCGGCTCGCCAGAGCAGCTTCGTCACGCTGGCCACGTGACCCGGAAGTGTCTCCGGACAGTGCTGGCCCCCGGCCTCTTAGGGGAGATGGGCGCACAACCCTAGAGTCAGACACGACTGGCCCGTACGGGCAGGGGTACCTTTTTATTAATATGGCACTGTGGTCTAAACCACAGAGCCTACGGCTTGCTGATCAGAAGGTCGGCGGTTTGAATCCCAGCTATGGGGTGAGCTCCCATTGCTCAGTCCCTGCTCCTGCCAACCTAGCAGTTCGAAAGCACGTCAAAGTGCAAATAGATAAATAGGTACCGCTCTGGCAGGAAGGTAAACGGCGTTTCTGTGCGCTGCTCTGGTTCGCCAGAAGCGGCTTAGTCATGCTGCCCACATGACCCTGAAGCTGTAAGCCGGCTCCCTCGGCCAATAAAGCGAGATGAGCGCCACAACCCCCAGAGTCGTCTGCAACTGGACCTAATGGTCAGGGGGTCCCTTTACCTATTAATATACTTCTTAATTATATTTTGGTTCAACAATTACTTTGATAAAATCCATATTTTGTTATGAGCAAATGGCTTTAGATACCTATTAGGTCCATAAATTACCATATAGCATATATTCAACACAAAAAACAGAGACAATTTGTTGTTAACAAAGGACAGCTGGACATATAAAGGGCCCCATTACCTTCAGTAGCTTACGGTCTCATCAAACCTAAATCCAGCCCTGCTAGCATCCCATGGCTACTAAGCATGGTCAATCCTCATTGGACTGTTTCTTGGGGGGCAGCCCCACTTAGAAAAAAACCCCTAACTTCTTTTGTACTTCTGCCCACCTTAATGTGCCTTCAAGCTTGCTAATAGTACCAGCCATCTGTTCTGTTTGGCAGAGGGTGAACGGGTGCCCTCTACCCCCACACTCCATGAATGGTTTCTTCCTCAGCTTATGTTCTTTTAAGCATGCAGAGCACATGAAGAAGGATGTCTCCAACCCAGATGCACAGCAGAGATCTGGCCTTCAATATGTGTATCAACGAAGAGATGATGTCAGCGGATCTCTGAGCAGCTGATGTTTGAAGGACCGCACAGTTATTGGGCAATAATCACTTGGTGCCTTTGCAGCCCTCAAGTCTCCGCGATTTGGGTTCCATGGTTTTACTTGAGCAGCTGCCACGCCGTATCAGATTATGCCTGAGAGTACAAAGCAATCCTTCACTTAGACCCAGAAAAATAATGAAAGCCCAATTTATTCTGTTTTAAGGGCCCAAAAATAACAGCACTAAACCAAAAAAAAAGCATGACGCCATTAGGAGGGAGGGGGGAACAAGAAAACACCAGCTTCTTCTAAAGTTATTTTATTCATTTGTTGTTGTTTTTCCCCCCTTTCTCATTTAATTACATTTGCTTGCGGGTTATTCTTTTTTCCCTACCACATTTCAGAGAGAATATTAAATCTAGGGCAAAGGAAGCAGCAATATAAACAAGCCATTAAACTTCCCTGCAGACTTGAGCCACTCAGGGCTGACGCTGAGGCCTTTTGGAACGTGGCCTGCGCAATGAGCATGCGCAAACACCACTCTACACAAACATGCCCTGAGAGAAAGCGTAGCCAACATGCTGCCCACCAGGTCTTAGACCACACCAGCCATCATCCTTGACCATTGGCTACCCTGGCTAGGGCTTATGGGAGTTGTAGTCCAACCATTGTGAAGGTACCATGACAGCTACCTCAGAGACTCTAGCCCCCTTCTTTCTTTCTAATGGTCTTCTAATTGACTGAAAGGTTGGACAAGCAAGAGAATTAAAATAAAGTAGTACCTCTGGTTACGTACTTAATTCGTTCCGGAGGTCCGTTCTTAACCTGAAACTGTTCGTAACCTGAAGCACCACTTTAGCTACTGGGGCCTCCTGCTGCCGCTGCACAATTTCTGTTCTCATCCTGAAGCAAATTCTTAACCCGAGATACTATTTCTGGGTTAGTGGAGTCTGTAACCTGAAGCGTATGTAACCCGAGGTACCACTGTTGGGGTGGGGAGCCTGTGGGCCACACCTGGCCTGCCAGCCCTCCCCATTTGGTTCAGGATGCCATTCTTGGAAAAACACCCACCTACACCTGACACCATACAATCTGAGCTTCAATCTGAGCTTCAACGACACCTGGCGTCACCGTGGCATTGGGTGATTGACAGGTGAAGGACCAATGGTCAGGGAGATTAAGAGCAAACCTGCAGGCCAGAAAGGTTCCCCAGCTGTAAGAGAAGCTAGCAAGCGGTGTTAAAAGAGTTGTTGGTGAACTGAAGAGGGTTGCTGGAGAAAGATGAAAGTGCTAGAAATTGGAAGGTGACAGGACGGAGAGTGCAGCAGGGGACCCAGACTCCAGGGACTAAATAAGTTGAGATGAAAGGAGGAAGACTGGAAACAGCACTGCTGGTGGACTAGGATGAGCTGAAATCACTTCATTCGCTTAAGTCGGGAAACAGTCTAGACAAGGTTCGGATTAATGTGTTTTTCCATGTTATTTTCATATCCTAATTGCTCTCAGAGTTAACTGTTTTGAATTCTGTTCCTCCTTCCCCCCTGCCCCCTGAGATACCATCATAAATTGCAGCCTTTCAAAACCTTTAGTTAGAATCTGATTATGTCGTTGGTGAAACCTTGGTTTCATGTGCTAAATTTCAGCCCGTGCCGAATCGCCTTTCTGTCTTACCCAGTATGAGGAACGAGTTGGCTGGGATAGTGCTAACATCACATAAGAGAAAGGGCTGTTTTAGCGGAGGCAACTAGGATAAACAAAAACTTTCATTAGATGGCAGAGGTTGGCAGGGGCAGCCCGTCCCGTTTTGCTGTAGGTGAAATGGGACGGTGTCGCCCTGTGTGGTATGCCCCTACCAAAGCCTAGCTTGCCAGTTGTCAAGGAGCTGTCAAGCTTGTCCAGATCAACCACAGGGCAGGGAAAGACGGGAGGCACGGAATGCCATTGGCTTTTTATTAACAGAAAATAACAAGACAGTAAAGTCCTCTGATTTGTCTTAATTCAGCTGAGACATTGCTGAAACTAACCACTGCCCACCCCCAGCCACAAATAACAAGATGGTAGAGTTCTCTGATTTGTCTTAATTCAGCTGAGACATTGCTGAAATAAAGCACTGCCCCCTTTCTCCACCCCAAGCCACTCATTCTGAATCTGTCCCAAGCTGACAAAAGCTGCATCGAGGAGGTGGACTCCTCCTCTGGGCCTGTCTGAACCATTGCTCAGCAGGACTGTCCTGGCGCTGTGGTTTAAACCACTGAGCCTCTTGGGCTTGCCGATCAGGAGGTCGGCAGTTCGAATCCCCATGACGGGTGAGCTCCCCTTGCTCGGTCCCAGCTCCTGCCAACCTAGCAGTTTGAAAGCATACAAGCACAAGTAGATAAATAGGTAGCACTGCAGCAGGAAGGTAAACAGCGTTTCCGTGCGCTCTGGCTTCCGTCAAGGTGTTCCGTTGTGCCAGAAGCGGTTTAGCCATGCTGGCCTCATGACCCGGAAAGCTGTCTGTGGACAAACACTGGCTCCCTCGGCCTGAAGCGAGATGAGAGCCACAACCCCATAGTCGTCTTTGACTGGACTTAACCGTCCAGGGGTCCTTTACCTTTACCTACCTCAAGCAGGACTCTTCTCAAGTAGGGTGTCAGAGGGGGATGGGACTGAGACTGTCCTGCTGCTGGATAGCAAGGGCAACCTCTGACTCCTCTCTATCTGAGTCTGTGCTCACACTGTGACTCTCAGCCTCTAACCCTGTCCAGGAAGGCCCTACTTCTTCTGACCTGCCTTGATTGCTCAAACCCCTGCTTCAAGCACCTCCCAGCTCGTCCCTTTCCTAGACTGCCCCATAGTGTCCCACCACCAGGATATGGGATCAAAGTTGTCTTCTTCTGTGTCCTCCCTGTAGGGCTCCCACCACTCTTCCTCATCTAGGCAGTCCCCAATACCAATATCCCCCCCCCCCCGGCTTCCATGTTCTGGTGACATCTCACAGGGCTTTCATGAGGTTCTCCAGAACCTGAAAGCCACTGCAGTCACTTCTCCAGCGGTGGCAGAAGAAAGTGTGCCCATGGAAGTACCCACAGAAGCACCCGTTGGATTCCACTGCATGAGGTGGCCACCTCAGTCTGTGCCTCATAAACAGGCCAGCCCTGAGGGGGCTGGTGAGGACCACAGAAGGGGCTAAGTGAGCTTGGTTGCTCCCTTTCCCTCCATCTCACAGTGCAGGCTACAGCTGGCTGGACATTGGAGATGCCAGCACATTTCAGGAATTCCAAATAGCACCATGCAGCCGAGGGTTACATGAAATAAGAATTATACAGATAGCATCTCTTTCTCTAATTTTCCCTCCAGCATCTGGTAATCAGAGATATCCAGCCGCCAAACTGGGCAGCGATAAGAGAATCTGTCCCTATCTATCGTACCAGATGATCTGTGGTGGATCAAATACTTCTGCATTATAATTTATATTTTAAAAAGCTTCTAACTGTGTAACACTAGAACTCCTGGACATTCAAAGAAGCTGAATGTTGGAAGATTTGGGACAGATAGAATACAGCGCATAGTTAAACTTGGGCTGCCAAAGCTAGGGCACTTTGTCCTGGATCTTAGGCAAGTTTCTATAAAACTTTGAGGTTTGTTTTAAAAAAGCTCGACAATTTTGGAGTCTTCCTAAATAAGCTCATCAACTTTCAGGGTGTCCTGGCAACCCTAGCTATGGATCTCGCTTCCACAGGAGGCATAGATGGCTTTAAAAGAGGATGAGACGAATTCTTGGAGGAGAGGGCTATCGATGGCTACCAGCCTCAGTGGCTTGGCTCAGCTACCACAGTTGGAGGCAGCACTGCTTCAGAACACCAGTTGCTGGAAACCACAGGAGGGGAGAGTGCTCTTGGGTTCGAATCCTGCTTGCTGGTTTCCCACAGGCATCTGGTCGACTACAGTGGTACCTCTGCTTAAGAACTTAATTCGTTCCGGAGGTCCGTTCTTAACCTGAAACTGTTCTTAACCTGAGGTACCACTTTAGCTAATGGGGCCTCCTGCTGCTGCCGTGCAATTTCTGTTCTAATCCTGAGGTAAAGTTCTTAACCCGAGGTACTATTTCTGGGTTAGCGGAGTCTGTAACCTGAAGTGTCTGTAACCTGAAGTGTCAGTAACCCGAGGTACCACTGTACTGTGGGAACAGATGTTGGACTAGATAGGCCATTGGCCTGATCCAGCAGGCTCTTCTTATGTTCTTACACTGTGGGACGCGGGTGGCGCTGTGATCTAAACCACTGAGCATCTTGGTTTGCCGATCGGAAGGTCGACGGTTCGAATCCCCGTGACAGGTTGAGCTCCCGTTGCTCAGTCCCAGCTCCTGCCAACCTAGCAGTTCAAAAGCACACCAGTGCAAGTAGATAAACATGTACTACTGTGGCGGGAAGGTAAACGGTGTTTCCGTGCGCTCTGGTTTCCGTCACGGTGTTTCATTGCAGCAGAAGCGGTTTAGTCCTGCTGGCCACATGACCCGGAAGGCTGTCTGTGGACAAAGGCCAGCTCCCTCAACCTGAAAGCGAGATGAGTTCTGCAGCCCCATAGTCGCCTTTGACTGGACTTAACTGTCCAGGGGTCCTTTACCTTTTTACATTGTGGCTTATGACTTAATTTTCTTCACTGAACTTAAAAGCTTCTCCTTTGATGCTAGAGACATGTTAAGAAATAGGATCCAGGATTGGACCAAGCCTTCCATGTAGCTGCAGTGGGACAATTTAAACCAGGCTCAGCTTTCGAGCTTGTTTTTGAATACCAGGACTCACCCCTGCTAGAGTAGGTAAAGATCATTTTAAAAAGTTCTCCAGAGCACGTGCAGAGTGTATTTCCATGGAGTATGTGCAGCCACGGGTTCACTTGCACGTATGTGCATCTAGGGGATGTCGGGCGACACTTTCCTTTGGTGGTAGTAAGAGCAGAGGTATTTCAGATTTGGGGGCAGGGTGAAGAGACCAGTCTGGCTTCCGCGCTGGTCATGGGACCGAGACGGCTCTGGTCGCCCTAACAGATGATCTCCGCAGGCAGCTGGATCGAGGCGGGTCGGGGCTGCTGATTCTTCTAGACCTGTCAGCAGCCTTTGACATGGTTGATCACGAACTCCTGGACCACCGCCTTGCCGACGTGGGGATCCAGGGCACAGTCCTTCAATGGCTGCGCTCGTTTCTCTCTGGTCGGGGACAGAGGGTGGCGCTTGGGGGGGAATTGTCATCCCGCCACTCCTTGGTGTGTGGAGTACCTCAGGGTGCGATACTCTCCCCGATGCTTTTTAACATCTTTATGCGCCCCCTCGCCCAGCTTGTCCGGAGTTTTGGGCTGGGTTGCCATCAGTATGCCGATGACACCCAACTCTATCTGTTGATGGATGGCCATCCTGACTCGGCCCCAGACACACTGACCAGATGTTTGGAAGCTGTGGCTGGATGGTTACATGGAAGCCGGTTGAAGTTAAATCCTTCGAAGACAGAGGTCCTCTGGCTGGGACGGGACGATATGGGATTGGGGGCAACTCCCATCTCTTGCGAGGGTGCAATTAGTGCCAGCACCGTCCGTTAAGGAGTTTGGGTGTAATCTTCGATACCTCCCTCTCTATGGAGGCGCAGATTACAGCTATAACAAAGGCGGCATTTTTTCATCTCCGCCAAGCTAAGCAGTTGGCCCCTTATCTCTCTCGCCCTGACCTAGCCACTGTGATCCACGCGACGGTCACCTCCAGACTGGATTATTGTAACTCGCTCTACGTGGGGCTGCCCTTGAGACTGACCCAGAAACTCCAGCGGGTGCAGAATGCCGCGGCGAGACTCCTTATGGGGTCTTCGCTGCGAGATCACATTCATCCGGTACTATACCAGCTGCACTGGCTCCCGGTGGAGTACAGGATCAGGTTTAAGGTGCTGGTTTTAACCTTTAAAGCCCTATACGGCCTAGGACCCTCGTACCTACGGGACCGCCTCTCCTGGTATGCCCCACAGAGGAACCTACGGTCTGCAAATAAAAACATCCTGAAGGTCCCAGGCCTCAGAGAGGTTAGGCTGGCCTCAACTAGAGCCAGGGCTTTCTCGGCTGCGGCTCCAATCTGGTGGAACGCTCTGTCACAAGAGACTAGGGCCCTGCGGGACCTGACATCTTTCCGCAAGGCCTGCAAGACAGAGTTGTTCCACCAGGCCTTTGGTCAGGGCCCAGCCTGACTCCCTCCTCTGGCAACCTGCACAGAACTTTGCTTAACGGTTGCCATTAATTTGATTTAATTAATTTTTATAATGAAATGTTTTAGAATGTTGGATTATTTGATTATTTGATTGTTTGATTATTTGTTTGTTGTTAGCCGCCCTGAGCCTGGCTTTGGCTGGGGAGGGCGGGATATAAATAAAATTTATTATTATTATTATTATTATAATAAAAGGGCAAGATTTTAATCAAAGTTTAAAAGTCAATTTTGAGATTTGTGAAAGCGAGGCTGCTTTTTTGTAGCAGTTTTTTTTGGCACAATGTGTATGTAGTCCAGCACAACTGCAGTTTATAATAAGCTGTAGCTCATAATAACTGTGGCGATGTTATCAGTTTGGGTCAAACAGTCATCTTTTGAAAAAGCAAACGAGGGTTGCCGTATTGGCCCGAATATAAGCCACACTTTCCCCCCAAATTCCGACCATGCAAAGTTAAAGTGCGGCTTAAATTCGCGACCTTACAAAAATTGGCCTTTTTTACGATATTGCTGCTGAAACAGCCATACAGTAAAATGGAACGGGTGTGAGTACCTGTGGAAGTTTAAGGGAGTGGCTTATAGTTGGGTATTGTCTCCCCCCCCCCCGCCACTGACTTTTAAAAGTGCGGCTTATATTCGGGTGTGGCTTATATATGGGCCAATACAGTGCTTATACCTTTTTTCATGCATACAGTGGTACCTTGGGTTAAGAACTTAATTCGTTCTGAAGGTCTGTTCTTAACCTGAAACTGTTCTTAACCTGAGGTACCACTTTAGCTAATGGGGCCTCCCACTGCCACCGCCACGCGATTTCTGTTCTCACCCTGAGGTAAAGTTCTTAACCCGAGGTACTATTTCTGGGTTAGCAGAGTCTGTAACCTGAAGCGTCTGTAACCTGAGGTACCACCATACTTCATACACAAACTTCTTTCATTATTATTTTTTAAAAAATACAAACACAAACAGTCACTCGGTGTGTAAAACAACCAGTAACTTGGTCGGAAATTTATAGATGCTCTTGATGAATGAATCGTATACCAACTGGGGAGGTGATGGATTGAACCCCCCTTCCTTAAATGGTGTCCTTGAGTAGTTGTGATCCCGATTTGTCAATGCTCGTCCTGGTCTTGAAGGTCAAAGGTCACCTTGCGATTGGGTCGAGTTCCTAAACGGAGAGCTATCCTGTGTTAAAACCGTAGCCCACGCCATCCCTGCCATGCCTCTGCTGTCTGCTGTTTCCTGGAGAGACAGTCAAGGTACTTCCTGCGGGATCTTTGAAGAAGTCCCAGATTGCAGCTGCTTCCAGCAGCGGCTTATTTTAATTGCCAAGACAGCTAATGACTGAAGGGCTGTGCACGAGGCTTGCCCGCGGGCGATGGTGAGGTTAACGCTAATAAATCCCAGAAAAGCCCTCGATGTGATAACCAGCTCTCTTCCAACCATGTGCGACAAAGAGGGAAACCAAGCAGATTATTTTTGCAGCGGGGTGCTGCTTCTTGCTTTTTTAAAAAACACCAAAATACCTTCCCTCATTCATTCATTTCAGCATTTGTCTCCTTATGGTTTTCATTCTTGTGGTCTCCATTCTTTTCTCTTTCTCCTTCACACAAACACTCCAACTAGATGAGATGCAGGAGGGAGGTCTGTGATAAAGATCTCCTGCTATTTATTTTATTTCATTTTTATGCAAAAAGCAGTCCTCACCCAACAATTTCAGGCTACAGTGCTGGGGAGGGAAGGCGGCGAGAGAGCTTTTCAGTTTCCCCCTCTGCATAGTCTGCCCCTATAGTGATAAGTGTACAAGTCCGATTTATATATTTAGTTATTTTATAAAATTTATGGGCCAAAGAAGCTCCAAGCGGTTGGCAAAAGAAGATAAAACAATAAAATAGCCACTAAGAAAAATGAACAACAATGATGCAAGACATACGAAAAGTTGACATAACATTAGACTAAGAAGAAATTAAAACTTGTGTTAACTTTCTAGACATTTGCGTCTTCTTCTTTGGTGACCACTTGTAGCCGAGTAAGATTGTCTTCCATGATCACATTCTTAACAGTGAGTCCGTAAGTGAATGTGGAGGCTGATTCTGGATCCACATGTCCTTCCACAGTGGGGACATAGGTTTCTGGGTGGGAGTTGATCATGGTGAGGGTTTGCCAAGCGTGCCTTCCTCTTGGCACGTTTCTCCCTTTCATCCAGAGTTTGAGTGTCTTCAAAACTGCTGGAGGGGGCAGGCTGTCATTTGGAGTTCCCTTCAGGCATCAAAACGGTTTTGGCCAGCACCGGTTGCTCAGTTCCCGTACTGGAGTAGGGTCATAATATTTGACAATCTGTCCTATTTTGCCACTGGCACAGTTTCAGTTTCAGATCGTTTCGACAAAACCACACAACAGACCTGTTACTGATTTGCAGCTGACCTCTTGCAAAGCCTGCCTTGTTTCTGAAAGTTAATAGGCAGTAAGAAAACAACCACCAAGATCATGGGTAGGCAAACTAAGGCCCGGGGGCTGGATCCAGCCCAATCGCCTTCTAAATCCGGCCCGCGGACGGTCCAGGAATCAGCGTGTTTTTACATGAGTAGAATGTGTCCTTTTATTTAAAATGCATCTCTGGGTTATTTGTGGGGCAAAGGAATTCGTTCATTTTTCTTCCCTTCAAAATATAGTCCGGCCCCCCACAAGGTCTGAGGGACAGTGGACCAGCCCCCTGCTGAAAAAGTTTACTGACCAAGATATTTGGACACTCTTCGTCTCAGGCCTTCCGCTGTGTTAGAGGCATCTATCTTGCGCACAAACGATGCTCTGTCGCAGAAGCGCACGTAGCATGCTCCGTTCCTAACTTAGCTTACGGAGGCCCAGGGAGGGACATACAGGGAGGGGGACCCAGATGCGCACAATAATTGCTCCTAAATGAGAAACAGCTCTTTGAATGGGAGAGCGATTAGCGGCTGAATGGAGAGAGGAGATAATGGAGTGGGAGAACCCTGAAAATGGAGAAGAGCCGGGAGGCGGTGGGGGTGGGAGGGGATAAGCCTAGAAAGGGTGTGATGTGATGAGGAGGGAAGACACCTGCAGTTTGGCTTTCCAATTCTTGGCCTCCGCTACGACTGTCGGCAGGCAATTACCGGCCATTACGGCTTTCCTTGGAGCAGAACCGGGCCCAGGCGCAGCAAATTTCAGGGCGCAAGCCAGGTCTGCAGAGGAGGCAACTTTGTTAAGAGACGATAAGAGATCTGGAAGTGGCTTTAAAGGAAGGGAGAGGGAAGCAGGACACTGTCCAGATGCGGAGGCCCTTCTCTTGGCGCTCTCTTCCTTTTCCACCACATGGCTCAGGCCTCCCTCCTTCGGAAGCTAAAGTGCATCTACCTGCGGGGACCACCGGCCATGCTGGACCTGCCTGTAAAAGGGGAGCGTTAATGGGAGCTGGAACAGTTTCTGTCGGGTGGCACACAGACAAGGCCGAAGCGGAGCTACCATGCCAGGTGAGTTAGGCAGGGTGGCCTGTTTTATTGATGACAATTGAAAGAGAGCAGTTGTCTGCTTGAAGGGGTTTTCTCTTCCAAGAACTGGACAATCCAGGCCTGGTTTAATGTTGAAGATGTGGGATGTAACATCACTGAAGAAGCAATTCCTGTTTGCCCAGAGTGGACATGCAGGGTAATGTTGCTTCAGCCAAGAGGACTTCCTGTCACACCTGGTCTGGAGCATCCTTCCCCTGCGTGTGACCAGGGAGATGGGCGTGTCCCTGGCAGACCCTACAAAAGGGCCAGTCACGCAGCCATCTCTCTCTCTTGATCCCTTCTCTCCATTTTGCCTTTTGCTGTCTGCTGGCTCTCAGCCAGCAGCACATGGGCTCATCCTTCACAGAGGATGAACCCACACTTTTCACTGTAACTACAAGCTAACGCAGGCATAGGCAAACTCGGCCCTCCAGATGTTTTGGGACTACAATCCCCATCATCCCTGACCACTGGTCCTGTTAGCTAGGGATGATGGGAATTGTAGTCCCAAAACATCTGGAGAGCCCAGTTTGCCTATGCCTGAGCCAAAGCCTGCCTTCAGGACCGTAATGTGAACTCAATGTAAGTAACATTCATTACTATTAAGACTGTTGTGTCATTATTGTTTTTAAGAGGGAACTAAAGGGGATTTACCATGACAAGCCAGACTGGGTTGCTTAACTCAAATGATTCTTACGAATCCATCAACTAGCTTTCTGCAATGTATAAGGGAATGTGCTCTGCTACAAGCTCACTAGTGTGAGGTAATATAATATTTAATCAATATAACCCTATGAAGGGAGAGCAGGCCGGGGCTCACCCATCAATTGTTAAACCTGGACAGCAGGCTCAGCAAGCACATGGGTCATCTGAGCCAAGTCTTCCCCCCGACGGCCAGATGGATTGTTTATATTTCTTTTTATATCGCAGTCCTTGGACTCAGCTATACACCTGCAAATATAACGTTTTAAGTGCATTATACAAATGTGAAACAAGATGGCGCTGGTGAGCTAATGGCAAATTCCATATATGTTTTAAAACATGTTTTTTAAAAGCATTTTCACAGCGTTGTTTTTTTATGTGTGTAGATTCAGCCCTTATTTCTGAAATTGCATATGAACATTTAAAGCCAGCATATGGAAACATGTAGATCCGTGTCATCTTTTCGGAGAGAGGGGGGGAGGGCATGCATAAACAATCAACCCCAGAGCTGCGGGTGTGATGTGCAGTGGTGTACAGTTCTCTGCTCACACCTTAAAGAAGCAAACCAGCCACCTTGCACATATTGCACGATCGCACAAGTAGTGAATTGGGCTGGTGGAATTCTGGACTGCACCAATTTATGCTGTAGGGGAGGAATCACAAGGTGGTGAAGTGAGCTGGTAGAATTTTGGGCTGTACCACTTCACACTGCGGGTGAGGAATCCTTCCCCTCCTCCTCATATTGCCATGGGAAACTCCCAAGCACATGCAGGAGGGGCACAGCCCCACCACAGCCAGAGCCTACTCTCTGTTTTCCTCCTCCTTGCCCTCCCCTCTTGCCCCATCATCCAGGCATAACATGCTCAGCAGGGACCACAGATTCCACATGCATCTTCCTGTTAGGATTCTTGCTCCGTGTTTGCAGTCATGGGATTGTTTTCTATCACATGCCGGTGTATGTTTTCATTCCACAGTGTGGGAAGTGAGGGAGACAGGATGTTTTGTGTTACTGTTTTCTGCAATGTAGGACTATTGTCCTTTGTTCTTTCTCTCTTTGCTGTCTGATAAGAAAAAGGAAGGAGCTAAGTCAGAATGCTCCGAGTGTATTATATGTAAATAAAGTAGATTAGCCAAAATGCTGTGCTAATGAGTTCTGTTACGCAAACTGCCAATACTTTGCAGGATTGAAAGTGTGCAGATACTTCTTGGTATGTCGCTTTGATATTCAGGCTAGAGAAAGCTTTTGAAGCTCCCAAACAACAGACCAGGAGGGAGAGAACTTGCCAGTCGGGCATGTGTCTCTGCCAGGGTCCTACATGCGAGTAGGACGACCCTAACATCCATCCGTGGCCCATTCCTTTCCCACCCCATAACTTTGGTGGGTTGGGTTGAGGGAAATAACTCTCACATCTCAAAACACTTTCAGGCTTCTGGAAGGGCAGCCCAACAAATGCTTTGCCTTTTAGCCTCTCTCCTCCGCTTCAAATTCCCACTTTAAAAAAAAATTTTAAAACCACTAACATCTTGCACTTAGTGAACATGCAGACCAAGAACAAAGTTCTTCTATTAACCACACGCAAGCAGCTTTTACTTGAGGAACTATTTTAAAATATTAACCCACACGCATAGCTGCAGTACAAAGAGCAACTGCTCCAGATTCCTAGTTCTGTACCTCTGGCTGCATATACACTATACCTTTAAAGCACATCTGAAACGTATTATTTCCCTCAAAGAATTCTGGGCACTGTAGTTTCCGTCTCACAGAGTTACAATTCCCAGAAACCCTCAACAGTTACCCTTGTTGAAACTTAATTCTCTTATAAATCCATAATGCACTTTTAAGAAAAAGTTTTTAAAAGTTATAATTAAACACAAGAAGAAAAAGGAACAGTCCACTTTTTCTGATCCTCTTCTGTACAGAGACAGTGGCAGGCAATTATGATTCAGTTTTATAATTCAGGGATGCTGAATTAGCAGAAACTAATATCTATACAGTAGATATTGGCGAATTTCCATTCTTGCTTCCCATTCAAACCATTTCAGTGAGAAATGGTAGAGAAAATTTCAATTTTTTATACACAATGTGAAATCTGCATATAAATACAATTACCTAATGTACATAGACATCTCCTGATGGTTTGATTTTGACAGACTTCTAATATCTAACCTCATCAACAGCCAACCGTCAATACCTTATATTGCTTTTAAAAAAAACCCCAAACAAGTTAGGTCCAAGGGTACTTTAGAGACCACCTGACCCCTTATATTTCAGTTTCTGAGATCATCTGCAAGAGCATCACAAGTAATTCCTTGAGCTGGAGAGGTTCATTTGACAAGAATCTGAACCTTTAGTGTCATCATCCCAGTTTTGTGCAATATTCTGCCGATGAGGGGGAAGCATGCTTCAGGTGTGCTTTAAAGGTACAATGGTACCTCGGGTTAAGAACTTAATTCATTCTGGAGGTCCGTTCTTAACCTGAAACTGTTCTTAACCTGAGGTACCACTTTAGCTAATGGGGCCACCCACTGCCACCGCACCACCGCTGTGCTATTTCTGTTCTCATCCTGAAGCAAAGTTCTTAACCTGAGGTTCTATTTCTGGGTTAGCGGAGTCTGTAACCTGAAGCATCTGTTACCTGAAGCATCTGTAACCTGAAGCATCTGTAACACAAGGTACCACTGTATACTAGTGTGTACATAGCGTTAGTTTGATCACCTCGTTCTGCATAAAGTATAGAACTATTCAGAACTTCATCGAGGTTGGCATAGATCATGATTCAATCAACATCTGGGCCCAGGAAAAGTCCATGGTGAGAGTTTCAAAGATCTGGTTTCCTGGTCCATGTTTTAGTGCAGGACTATAGCTCCCATCGGGATGTGGGTGGCGCTGTGGTCTAAGCCACAGAGCCTAGGGCTTGCCGATCAGAAGGTCATCAGTTCGAATCCCCGTGACGGGGTGAGGTCCCATTGTTCGGTCCCAGCTCCTGCCCACGTAGCAGTTCGAAAGCACATCAAAGTGCAAGTAGATAAATAGGTACTGCTCCGGCGGGAAGGTAAATGGCATTTCTGTGCACTGATCTGGTTCACCAGAAGCGGCTTAGTCATGCTGGCCACATGACCCGGAAGCTGTACGCCGGCTCCCTCGGCCAATAAAGAGAGATGAGCGCCACAACCCCAGAGTCGGTCATGACTGGACCTAACGGTCAGGGGTACCTTTACCTTTACCTATAGCTCCCATCATTCCTGGCCATTGTCCATGCTTGATGGGGCTGATGGGAGTTGGAGTCCCACAACCTCTGCAGAGCCACAGGTTCCCCGTCCCTATTTTAGTGCCTGGAGTTCTTTGTTCCGAAGGAGCCAACCATAGGCGCTCGTCCCATTAATATTTATCTGTTCCTTGTTGAATGGAAGTAGAGCTGAGCAGACAATGAAAGTTTTAATTGCTGGCACTTGCTGCCAAAAAGCAATTTCTCTCTTGCTCAAGGGATAGGAAGACAGGAGGTAGGTTTTATTATTATTATTATTTAAAGAGCACCTCAATGGAGCTTGGAGATTGTGGATCAGAGGGAAAAGCACCGTCCGAAATTGGCAAAAAAAGCTTCTGCTGCTGCAACCTTTAGTTATGTGTTGTAATATGTATCTAACATGCTCCATCCAAAGGGAATACGTTGAGTAATAGCACAAGATTTTTTAAATAATAAGAAGGAAACTAACCGCAGTTCCACTGAATATTCAGCGCAGTACAATTAAAGCTTTCTGCCATGCAGTTTTACTCCAAGCCACCAAATGTCCCTCTCAGCCAGGAAGTCCTGACATCACGTCTCCCCTCAGAGTCCCAAAGTTAAGTTGTGTGAGGCAGTTACCAAGAACACCCTCTGCAAATCATCATCAGCATAACTAGATGGTTCCCAGATGGAACAATTAAAGACATTTTATTCTCTCAGGCAATTTAAGCGAAATGAATTTTTCTTTCAGATCTGATGGGAAAGGAAGCTATATTTTAAATGCTAAAATGGAGTCATCCATTCTGCTGTCTGAATTTGTTATGATGAATCTGAAAAGTGCTCTTGTTTTAATTGTCTCTCTCTCTGTGTAATTTTTTTTAATAAAAAAATACTGTTTCATACCTGCCTGGCCCGTCATTTCAAAGTAATCCTATTCAATGTTCATTCAGAAGTGTCAATGGGTTCACTGGGACTTCCTCTAGCCCAGTGGTTCCCAAATGGGGGTCCGCGTAACCCACCCAGGGGGTCTGTGACACCATTGACATGAAACAACTACCATAGTGATACCAAGTTTTTTCAAAAGTATGGCTTGGCTTGGCTTTTGAAAGAAGGCCACAAATTTAAAGCACTGTGGTTCAATTTTAAACAACTCCCCTGAAAGAATTCTGGGAAGTTTAGTTTGTTAAGAGTGCTAAGAATTGTTTAGGAGACCCCCATTTCTCTCCCGGAGCTACAATTCCGAAAATAGTTTAACAATCAATCCCTCTTTTCTGAGAACTCTGGGAGGGGAATAGAGTTTTCCCTTAAGGAACTACAGCCCCCAGAAGGGGTGCCACAGTGCTTTTAAACGGTGTGAATGCGTCCCAAGTCCGGGAAGCGTTTCTGCTCAGCATCAGGAAAGCTATCTCCAACCAAAGCGATGGCGGCTATCAATTTTCTAAAAACACACAGTCTGTTATTGCAGTTGTAAACTGGGGCTTTTCCCATGTCTGCAGGGTCTGGAAATTAGTCATTACTGCGGGTAACAACCAGTGGGGCTTTGCTCATTAATTGCTCTGCCCCCAGCTGTTAAATAGCAAAAACGGTTGTTAACTCCAGGTTAAAAACAACCGCTAAAAAACACACACACATGCACTCATGCACAATCCAAACAGAAAGCAAGGTGATCAGGAGGGGGATTATGACAGGAATTACAGACTATAAACTCCCTGCAGGTTAATGTCAGTGCCAAAGGTTGGATGAGGCTGCTAGCTATCTCAAGTGAGTGCAAATGTATACATTGGCAAGACACTTCACTTTATCTGCTGCTGCTGCTCCTGCTCCTGCTGTTGCTGTTGCTGCTGCTACAGTTCGGAAGCTATTTTACCTCAAGGCAAAGCAGTCGCCTCAAGTGGTGGATTTGAAGTTCAAGGCAATAGTTTTTGTATGGCGTTTAAAAGCAATTTGGTGGGAGAAGTCAGGGAGACTCAAGAGGGCGACATTTATTTTATTTTCTAATGTAAAATAATTATAACTCTCCCCTCATCGGGTTCCAGGATTAGATAGAGTACATATAGAACTAAATAACAACAACAGCAATACCAGAAGTCTCAAAACGATTTACAGGGACAACGTAGTCACATCCATGCCATACATTTAAATCACTCTTATGCCACTGTTAATAATAATAATTATTATAATTTATTATTTATATCCCGCCCATCTGGCTGGGTTTCACCAGCCGCTCTGGGCGGCTCCAACAAAATATTACAAATGCGATAGAACACCAAACATAAAAAAAACTTTCCTAAACAGGGCTGCCTTCATATGTCTTCTAAAAGTCAGAGTTGTTTATTTCCTTGACATCTAATGGGAGGGCCTTCCACAGGGCGGGTGCCACTACCGAGAAGGCCCTCTGCCTGGTTCCCTGCAACCTCACTTCTCGCAGCGAGGGAATCGCCAGAAGGCCCTCGGAGCTGGACCTCCGTGTCCGGGTTGAACGATGGGGGTGGAGACGCTCCTTCAGGTATACTGGGCCAAGGCTTCCCCCAAACAACCCTGGGAACTGCAATTTGTTAAAGGTGCTAATATTTATCAGAGTCGGACCCACTTTACCATTGGGCAACTGCCTCAGGTGGCCGATTCAGGGGTGAACCATTCCCTTCCATTGGAGGGCAGAGCTAGATATGCCACCCGGATCATTCTGCACCCCCTGAATTAGCCTGCTTGCCTTGGGTGGAATGGAGGACGCCATCTTAGCACCAATGAATTGCTGCTCTGGTTGACTTCCATATATGAAACAGGGGGCACCATCTTGCCCGTTGCCCCAGGCAGCAAAATGTCTTGGGCTGGCCTTGGTCAGGAGACACACACCCCCCTCCTCACAGAGCGAAAATTGCCAGCAACAAACTACAGTTCCCAGGGGGGTTGGCGGGGGGAGGGTTTTTTGCCATGATTGCTGTCAGAGTGCTTTCAATGTATGGTGCGAACGTGATCGCAACATACAATAAAAACCAGTTGAAGTGAAACAGGCATACGAAGAGGCCCTAAATTGTGTCTGGATTCTCATCCCTTGCAGCTCCATCTCCACCACCACCCCTCCCACCCACGCCTGATGGCTCAGGGTGGCTGACAAATACTTTAAACAACAAACATCAGTTCAGATGCCAGCTCCTCTCCCGCCAGACTGGCATGACTGGCTGCTATCAGCTTCCCTGCCGCAACTGTGTCTCGCTCCCATTCTTAAGTTAACAGCTTGGTGTAATTGCTTTGCGAGCGACAGCTTGAATCACAGCAGGCCCTGTGAATGCGGGTGATTCAGACTCCCTCCTATCTCCTCGCTGCCACCACCGCCAGGGAGCTATTTTAAGCAATGTCGAACAAAAGATGCTGCTGAAGCCATTCTGGAGAGCAGGGAGGTAGCCGGGCAAGTCGGGAAGCTGGGCCTGAATGCTGCCTCTGTGCGCTCTTGGGAAGACTTTCGCCCTTCAGGGCCTCATCAAAGATGCATCCCTTTTTCAGATTGGAATGGCTCCCAGGCCAGCTCAGGGCCCTTCCAGGCTGCTGCTATTTTCAGGTGGAATTCAGTCACACGCTGGCAAATCCAAGTCATGCAGTTATAGGCAGGGCCGGATTTACGTATAAGCTAAACAAGCTATAGCTTAGGGCCCCACTCTCTTGGGGGCCCTCAAAAAAATTAAAGGAAAAAAGTCTGAAAATACATTTCCAAAATATAAGATAAACAAATAAAATAAAACCTACACACAGCAACAGTGTTTTGTGTTGCGTAGGCTCCTATGATGTAAGTAATGGGCCCCGCCTGCTAGCCTGCTCCCTAAAATATCACTGGTTCTTAATTGTATTTCAGTTCAACAATTACTTTGATAAAATACATACTTTGTTATGTGCAAATGGCTTTAAATATCTATTAGGTCCGTAAATTACCATATATTCAACACAAAAAACAGCAACAATTTGTTGTTGACAAAGGACAGCTGGACATATAAAGGGCCCCATTACCTTCAGTAGCTTAGGGCCTCATCAAACCCAAATCTGGCCCTGGTTATAGGTGATGGGCAGGTTTGGTGAAAAAACAAAAACCCTGCTTCCCCTGAAAATCAGACTTTCTGTGATGAGGAAAGCCACAGGAACATGCCCTCCCCGAAAACACATCAGAATGACAGGCTCTTCCAAGTGTCCCTATTTTCCAGGGACAGTCTCGGACTTACAGCTGCCCCGGCTTCTGATTTGATCCTAAAATGTCCCACTTTTCCTTAGGGCATCCCTATTTTCATCAGAGAAATGCTGAAGGATAAGGAATAGGACGTCCCCAGGGCTTTTCACAGCCGGAACTCGCTGGAACTCAGTTCCAGCACCTCTCAGACAAGCGCTATTACCATAATAAGAGAACAAAGGTATGCTGGTCCCGTGGGTTACCCGAGAGGCGAGGTCCAAGTCCGGTCCGTGGTCAAGGTGCAACGTGGAGGCAGTCCATAGTAGCTGAAACTGGGTGCAGGGCAGGGAGTCGGGTGAAGTCAGGAACAGGCAAGCAAGCAAGCAGAGAGCCAGGGCTTGGCAGGGCAGGGCAGGGCAGGGCAGGTGCTCTGACAGACAAACAGGACAGGGTTCAGGCAAGAACTAGCAACCAACAATGTTGCTCCCACAACTTGGGACTGGGGCTGGCCAGCTTTTATGTGCCCCGAGGCATAGGGCGGCCCCAATCCTCTGGTGACTTGCCTCTCCTGGCCTGGAGGTGAACACTCCTCCTGCGGGAACCTAGTTCCCTCCGCCTCTCTGCCCTGAGCCTCTGCAGCTCAGGAGAGGCTGGAGGGTTACCGGACCCAGAGGCAACCTCAGCTTCCTCTGACGGGGCTGAGAGTGGAGCACCTGCAGGCAATGGGTCCTCCATCACCTCGGGAGCAGGCTCAGCTGATGCCTGCAGCTGAGGATCTAGCACAGGTGAGGACCCTTCGGCCTTCCCATCTCTAGGTAGGACAAAGCCAAGCAGCTATCATGCAACACCTGTGACTCCCCCTTTCTTGAAAACGCAGCCAGTTTGAGACATCCTGATCACTACGACTGCCCCCGCCAAAACGAAATGCCGAGCTTCTAGCAATAACAAGGATTCCTGAAGTGAGATGGGGAGAGATCAATGGCTGCCTTTATAGCTGACAAGATCTCTGGGGTCACTCGGTGACAAGCACTTCAAATTCTCCAGAGTTTGCAAATTTCATGCCGCAACTTTCCCCCCTCTGGGGTAGACTTTGGACACCATTGTCTTTGGGCTGGCGGGCTGGAGAGGGATGAGGAAGAAGGGTCTCTCTTGTTCCCCCGGCCCGCCTGCTCCCTTCCAAGCATGGAGTTGGTGCTGGCCTGGACTCCCAGCGGAGAAGTACAATGGAGCGCTTCTTGGCTCGGAGGCCGTGGCTTCTCCCGGTGGAGGCTCTGCCCCCAATCTCGGAATGGATCTTCTCAAATACACCCAATTCCCACACAGAGCCCCGATTCAGACTCCCGTCTTTGTTTCTGGAAGTCGTCATCGATCGGAAATCCCATTGTTAGCCGTCAGGGAAGGACCAAGAGATGCCCCTCTGGATTCCTGAAAAGCCCGACACCCTGGCCTTATGAGCTGCGGTGCTAGAAGTTTAAGAGGGGGCAAGAGGAGGACAATGGCACCAGCCCACGAGAAACGGCGCCGATGCTGGCAAGGCAAGCAGGCGTGGGATGTTGTGCAGACACAACATCTGCCCTAGGCAAGAACAAGCGGGCAATGATAACAAGAGAAGTGGCATCTTGCAGCAGGATTGCATTAATTTTTTTCTTTACTGGCTCTGTTCTACTCAGCTTAGCAGTCGCATGATAAAGGTAAAGGGACCCCTGACGATTAGGTCCAGTCATGACCAACTCTGGGGTTGCGGCACTCATCTCGCTTTATTGGCTGAGGGAGCCGGCGTACAGCTTCCGGGTCATGTGGCCAGCATGACTAAGCCGCTTCTGGCGAACCAGAGCAGCGCACGGAAACACCATTTACCTTCCCGCCAGAGTGGTACCTATTTATCTACTTGCACTTAACGTGCTTTCAAGCTGCTAGGTTGGCAGGAGCAGGGACCGAGCAACGGGAGCTCACCCCGTCACGGGGATTCGAACTGCCAACCTTCTGATCAGCAAGTCCTAGGCTCTGTGGTTTAACCCACAGCGCCACCCGCGTCCCATGATACACAAGCATTAAACCAACTGCACTCCTGTGCCCACAGGAAGAAGTCCCCTTCTAAGCGTACATGCAGGAGTTTGTGTTGGAACCTGCTTTTCCTACCTCTGATTGCCTCACCATAAAAAATTTCACATACAATTTTTGCATGGTGTGGACCAGGAGGAAAAATGGCAACTCCTTGGGCTAGCATCCAATATAGTGGTACCCTGGTTCTCAGACGCCTTGGTACTCAAACAACTTGGAACCCAAACACTACAAACCCAGAAGTAAGGGTTCCGGTTTGAGAACTTTTTTCAGAAGCCGAATGTGCTCCGTTTTGAGTGCCACACTTCCATTTTGAGTGTAACGCTTCTGATTTGAGTACCACACCTCCTCTTTGAGTGTTACACTGAGATCTGTCTGTTTTTGCTATTGATTTTGATTTGCTATTGATTTTGCATTTTTGTTTTTGCGACTCTTTTTGTTTTGTTTTTGTGACTGTGTGGAACCCAGTCAGCTACGGATTGATAGATTGTGTGACTGCAGTACATTGTTTATTGCTTTCATTTTATGGATCAATGGTCTCGTTAGATAGTAAAATTCATGTTAAATTGCTGTTTTAGGGGTTGTTTTTAAAAGTCTGGAATGGATTAATCCATTTTGCATGACTTTCTATGGGAAAGGGTGCCTTGGTTTTGAAACGCTTTGGTTTTGGAACGGAGCCCTGATATACTGCAGGGGTCAGCAAACTTTTTCAGCAGGGGGCCAGTCCACTGTCCCTCAGACCATGTGGTGGGCCGGACTATATTTTGAAAAAAATATATGAATGAATTCCTATGCTGCACGAATAACCCAGAGATGCATTTTAAATAAAATCACACATTCTACTCATGTAAAAACACGCTGATTCCCAGACCGTCCATGGGTCAGATTTAGAAGGCGATTGGGCTGGATCCGGCCCCCGGGCCGTATCTTGCCTACCCATGATATACTGCTATGAAACTGTAGGTTACAAAACTTCAACGAATAAGCAGATAAACAAACTATATTAGACAAAGGTCCCTGCCAAAATGTGTCTCTTTGAAGAATTCACAGTAAAATGGTTACAAATATTCATGACGGCTTTTTTTATATATAGAAAAGAAAGAAAAAGAAAAATGCAAACTCGCCTGCATTTTGTTTCTTTAAACATAAGATTTAAAGAAAATGAGAAAACTGAAACGAACAGGTTCACCCATCCCTAGTCCCAATAAGTATAGCCAGTTCCTTCATAAACTCCCTTGTGCAGGCAGCTAGAATGGATAAACCTCCAGCGTCCCATTTCAACTCAAAAATTCTAGGTTTATTATTCACACACTCACACACACACACACACACACACCCGCAATACACGTTTGAGATCATCTACAATTTACCAGAGTTTCACAGAAGACCAATAAATGTCAAAAGGGCCCTCTGCATAATCACTGATCCAGAGGAACCCTTTTCCTTTGAAAGTCTGCAGTTTTTGTACTGTGTGGCTTCCCTCTCTCCCTCTCTCTGTCTCACACACACGCAAATCCTCCCTGTCTTCTTAATGTGCTCCCTCAAGAAACAAACTTCTCATTTTGCATCCATTTATAGCCAGTTTAGGTAAGTGGATATGTTGTGTGGGAACTGATGATCTTTTACAAAGGAAAGCAGTTAAATATATAAATAACCCAAGAGGGGGGTGGGACTTGTCGGTTTGATGGTTTGCTAAATAATTGTGACTCTGAAACAAAAACCCTGCCCTAACACTACACAACAGAATAAAAGAACACCCCCATCTGGAAACACACACACACACACACACACACACACACCGTCTTTCTCCCTCCCTCCCTCCCTCTCTCTCCCTTTCCCCCAATCGCAATATGTCTATGTCAAAAGTGTCTCTCGCGACATGTAAACGAGCCGTGAAAAAGAATCTATGAATTGAAAGTGGAGTCAAAAGATGCACTTTTCCCTATTCGTTTGTTTTGAAGCGCAAGAATATCTTTAAGAGAAACTAATTATTTTTTTAAAAAGTGGAAATGGTTGTTTGTTTGTTTGGTGTGCGTGCGTGCGTGCGTGCGTGTTATGCGTCTGGTTTTGCTAACGAAGCCAAAGGTCCAGCCACTTGATTTGTAAATGAAATCCAACTGACGTGTTTCTTTCCTCAGCAATCCTTCAGCCTCATTAAACAGAATCAAAACTCCCCGTGACAAATCTGGATGGAGGAGGCAGAGGCCAATCTGACCTACGAGGATGCTTTGGCCAGGCGTGTGTCTGTGGAAGCTGATAGCGAGTCAAGTTGGCGTCACTGCCGCTCCAAAGTCCTAATTCAGCAAAAGATTCAGCACTTTCTTCCCTAGGCAGCCACTGTGCCGTCTACTGAACAGCTCGGTGCAACGGAAAGCATTTCCAGAAGGAGTCCTGGACCTGCGGCCACGCAGCTTTGGGTTCAAACCTTGGCCAGCCCCACAGACTTTCCCTTGCCCAGCCGCTTCTCTTCAGCTCCCTCCCTCTGTAAAACTAGCATCCTTACACTTTGCCACGCAGAGTTTTGTCTTGCGGACAGATGCGTCAAAGGCTGCGAAGTGTTTCAAACAACACAGCTGCAATGGAACTGACAAGCAGGCAAAATTCAGGGGAGGAACTACCGAGGGCAAAATGAGAATTTGCAAAGCACAGAGTAGCTACGCTTGTTGAGACTCGCCTCTACGTGCCCATCCTCGTTTCTTGAACCTTGGCTTGCATGCCTGTGAAACATGGCAGCTTGCCTCCCTTCGCCCCTTAGTTTGACATGTGTTGGTTGCTTGGCATGCAAATAGGTGGGAGGTGAGAGTGGAGAGAACTGCAGCCGGTCACTTACCTCGCACATCAATGTGGTGGTCTCTCATACTGCGGGATGTGAAAGCAGGGCTGCAGTGTATATTGCTCCATGTTGTTGGGATGTGAATAGATGCTAGGGGACGCGGGTGGCGCTGGGGTCTAAACCACTGAGCCTCTTGGGCTTGTCGATTGGAAGGTTGGCGGTTCGAATCCCCATGACGGAGTGAGCTCCCGTTGCTCTGTCCCAGCTCCTGCCAATTTAGCAGTTCGAAAGCACGCCAGCGCAAGTAGATAAATAGGTACCACTCCGGCGGAAAGGTAAACAGCGTTTCCGTGCGCTCTGGTTTCCATCACGGTGCTCCGTTGTGCCAGAAGCGGTTTAGTCATGCTGGCCACATGACCCTGAAAGCTGTCTGTGGACAAACACCGGCTCCCTCAGCCTGAAAGCGAGATGAGTGCTGCAACCCCATAGTCGCCTTTGACTGGACGTAACCACCCAGGGGTCCTTTACCTTTTAGATGCTAGGAGAGGATACGTTTGTTAGATATTATCCTTCCTTATGTTTGTGAGTTTAACAGAGTGCCATGCCTTTGCAGTTTAAAAGGGAAGCTTAGATAGCGAGTTTAGCATTTTAATTTAAGGAATCCAGGAAGCTTTAAGGCAGACGGGATTTTCCTGGCATTTCCCCATTTTCTCCCCCTTAAAGCAACAAACACACAAACAGTCTTGTAAAAGGTAAAAATAGCATTTACTCACACAGAATACTTGTTGGAAAAGTAACAGATACAGCAGCTTTGTCCAGGCAGGCTTCAGGTGGTAATTCAGTCACAAAGACATAATGTATTTTTCGCTCTATAGGACGCACCCAACCATAGGACGCACCTTGTTTCAGAGGGGGAGAACAAGGGAAAAAATTCTCCCCCTCTCTGCTCAGCGCCCCTTCAGCGAAGCGGCAGGAGAAACGGAGCCCCTTCCATTTCTCTTCCCACTTGGCTGAAGGGGCACTGTGCAGCTCTCCCTCTCTGCTGAAGCCAGGAGAGTCAGCAAAAGGAACCCGAAGCCTCTGGAGCGCAGCGGGACCTCCTGCTGCACTCCGGAGGCTTCAGGCGGCTATCCCTGAAGCCTTTGGAGTGCAGCGCAAGTTCCTGCAGCGCTCTGGAGGCTTCAGGTTCCTTTCGCTTCAGCAAGGTTCTCCCAGCTTCAGCAAAAGGAACCTGAAGCTTCTGGAGTGCAGAGGGAACTTGCACTGCGCTTCAAAGGCTTCAGGGACCTCCCGCTGCACTCCGGAGGCTTCAGGAGACTATCCCTGAAGCCTTCGGAGCGCAGCGCGAGTTCCCGCTGCGCTCCGGAGGCTTCGGTTCAGCGAAAGCAATGTGAAGCCTCCGGAGCGCGGAGGGAGCGCTCCCTCTGCACTTTGGAGGCTTTGTGTTGCTATCGCTGAAGCCAAGGAGCCTGCATTCTCTCCATAGGACGCACACACATTTCCCCTTAATTTTTGGAGGGGAAAAAGTGCGTCCTATAGAGCAAAAAATACGGTACTTAAGTCTAGCTTGAAATGGTGTCTGAGCATGGAGCTCAGCCATGCAGATGTTCTCACATTGCTTGCAGAGTGGAGGGAGGTGGACATAGATGGAAAGGGAATAAAAGAGTGTGCCCAGGCAGGTAGGTGAATATCTAGCTATGCCCTCCTTCCCTGTCAGGGCACCATGGGAGTATCTATCACAGAGTTCTCTCTAGCAGACTAATCAGGAAAACTCTGTGAGCTTCAGCTCCTATCATGTGCCTATCTAGCAATGCATGAATTGTTGGTTTGACTGCCTTTTGAATATCCCACTTCATGGCAGCTTGCAAGGGGAAAGAACTGCCTACCTGGCCTCAGCTCAAGGGCAGTACCACCACTGCCAGATGTGTATTTGAAACCTTGCAGAAGGTGGAAGGGGTGGAAGGAAGAAGAAGCCCCGACAACAGCGGACTGGCATAATAAACTACAAGAATTTGCTGAAATGGCGCAGTTGACAAATAGCCTGAGAGGCAATTCAAAACAAAAATTTATGGGAAAATGGGATAGCTATAAGATATATGTTCAAAAATATAGTAAAGGTTCGCTATCTATGCGAGCATTCAATTGATGTTGGAGAGAAATTGAGTTGAGAAACAAGATTAAAGGTACATATTGATATAGGAATGTATTAGATAAAACGTAAAGAAATATACAATAATAAGTGTACATTCATTTGTAAAAAAAATATATACAACAAGATTGACAGGAAGTCTGTAGTCTTGATAAATATTATTTTGAAATGGCTTTATATTTTTGTTTTTTGTTTTTTCTTTCTGTAGGTACATAAATTTGGTATATAAACTTTGTATACATGTTGGGAATTATATTATAATATGCCCTGTAATGTAATATGATAATGTATACACATGTGACATAAGAACGTTAAAAACGAAAGAAAGAAAGAAAGAAAGAAAGAAAGAAAGAAAGAAAGAAAGAAAGAAACCCTGCAGAAAAGGGAGTTGATTGAGACGGTGATTTGGAAGAGGGCAGCAGTGAGAGTCTTAAGAGACAGTTTGTCACATATACAGTGGTACCTCGGGTTACATACGCTTCAGGTTACAGACTCCGTTAACACAGAAATAGAACCTTGGGTTAAGAACTTTGCTTCAGGATGAGAACAGAAATCGTGCAGCAGCTGCGCAGCAGCAGCGGGAGGCCCCGTTAGCTAAAGTGGTGCTTCAGGTTAAGAACAGTTTCAGGTAAGAACTGAACTCCGGAACGAATTAAGGACGTAACCAGAGTCCATATGGTTGCCCGGCAGCAGCTGTCCGGCCCTGGACCCTCCTGTCTTGATGGATGCCCTGTCCACTCCATGCCAGATGGCGGGGTCTGGGAGGTTTCCATTGAACATTTTCCATAGTGCTCTGGAGCAACTGTCCACTGAGCACACAGGGGCATTGTGGGAAAATCTAATTGGCAGCTTCCCAACCATCTGCTCCCAGCAGCAAGCAAAGCCGTGATTGTCCTACGTTGGGGGCCCACCAGATAGCACTTTGCTGAGGGTACCCTCCTCCCTGGACCCTGGTTACGGCGAAAGAGGGTGCCATGTTGTTTATAGCTGACATGATGATTCCAATAGTTATTCATCAGGCAATGGTATTTATTTTGGTTTAATGCAAAAGATAGGGACGTGGGTGGCGCTGTGGGTTAAACCACAGAGCTTAGGACTTGCTGATGAGAAGGTCGACGGTTCAAATCCCCGCGACAGGGTGAGCTCCCATTGCTCGGTCCCAGCTCCTGCCAACCTAGCAGTTCAAAAGCACGTCAAAGTGCATGTAGATAGATAGGTACCGCTCCGGTGGGAAGGTAAACGGCGTTTCCGTGCGCTGCTCTGGTTCGCCAGAAGCGGCATAGTCATCCTGGCCACATGACCAGCTCCCTTGGCCAGTAAAGCGAGATGAGCGCCGCAACCCCAGAGTCGGCCACGACTGGACCTAATGGTCAGGGGTACCTTTACCTAATGCAAAAGATGGAGTTGGATTTTAACTGGCATGGTTTGGAACAAGAGTGTCTTTTGGGATAAAGGATGGCTTTCCGAATGATGTTAACGTTTCACCCTTCCTTCCTTCCTTCCTTCCTTCCTTCCTTCCTTGATTTCTATTGTATCATATGTTTAAGATATCATATGTTTAAGATTTCTATTGTATCATATGTTTAAGATTTTAAGCCTGTGCACAGGGACTTTCTTGTTTTAATTAATTGTATGTAAGCTACTCTGGGAGTCTTTTTGGCTGAAGAACAGGGGATGCATGTTCCCAGTCCCTGTTGAACTTCCGGCCCTGGTGAAGGCCTACTAATTTCTATGGCATTTGAAGTTAGTTTTCCAGTTAATTTTAACTGATTTGATCTTTAATGGATCTTTTGCAACCTTCCTGTGCACCGCTACATAGATTAAATGTATATCTAATGTTTAAATAAGGTACAGTAGCAGCAATTTGCATGGATAGTAGTTAATGTCTTAAAGGAAACGTATCCCATAGACTCTACGTAGAGGTTCAAATCCACCTGGAAGTTGCATTCTACCCTCCTTTCTGATTCAGGACACCCTAAGTTCCACCTGGGAAGAGTGGTCTGTGATGATGATGCAACAATAGGCCACTTTGCATAAGCTCAGAAGTAGTCTTTTCAACTGCTGAAGGGGCACAGAAATGTGATCTTAGCACCATGCTATGATGAGTTCTTGCTTCCTTTAAACTCTGAGAAGAAACCTTCATAAAGTTGTCCTGTGAGGTTTTTTCTCTCTGATTGTTTTGGGACGAAAAGAAAGTATATTTTTGGACGCATCAGCCCAAGGGCCAGATTGAGGTTTGATGAGGCCCTAAGCTACTGAAGGTAATGGGGCCCTTTATATGTCCAGCTGTCCCTTGTCAACAACAAATTGTCACAGTTTTTTGTGTTGAATATATGCTATATGGTAATTTATGGACCCCATAGTTATCTAAAGCCGTTTGCGCATGTTGCCATGCAACTAGTCCATGCAGAATGTAGGCACCCTATATATAGAAATGAGCAAACCAGTGATATTTTAGGGAGCAGGCTAGCAGGCGGGGCTATTGCTTACATCATAGGAGCCTACACAACACAAAACACTGTTGCTGTATGTAGGCTTTATTTTATTTGTTTTTTTATCTTATATTTTGGAAATGTACATCCAGGTTTTTATTCCCTTTAATTTTTGGGGGGGCCCGCAAGAGAGGGGGGCCCTAAGCTATAGCTTGTTTAGCTTATACGTAAATCCGGCACTGACAGCCCCCACAATTCTGTTGGAGGCCTTGGGAGTTTTTGCTTTCACTTTGTTTGCAGTGGGTCCTGGGAAACGTGAAATCTGCAAGCACAGCAAGCAGCAACACTCACCGGGTGGCACGGCGCACTTGCCAGGTCTTTGCAGAAAGCACTGAAAACAAATCTCCAGGTTTCACCCCAGATGAGCAGAAATTAGCAGCTCATCAATTCTTCAAGAGCAGCTAATTAGCAAGTACCCAGGAGATCTGCGCTCTCTCTCAACATCAAGCCACTCAGCCAGCCCAGATTTGAGCATGCCGGGGGTGCTGCTGTCTGTAATTGAGACTCTCAGCCAGGATCCAAGTGGCCTGGGGTCTCCCCTGGAGAAAACGCCAGCCAAGCAGGGAAGTGCCGCAAATTGCAGTTGTCATCAGCACAGCTTCTTGTGGAGACGGCCAAAGATCATAAAATGCTTCCAGCCAGAAAAGTGTCCCAACACTCAGTCAATGGTGTGTCATCTTTTTTAAAATCCAAATATTTTCTATTGGTTTTCATGTAAATACAAGAACAACATGCAACTACAGTAACTTGCTTTTTGAAAGGCATCACCATCGTTGCGTGGTTGGTACTTAGTCCCAGAAATGATGCAGCTTTAAAATTTGGCTATCATTAGCCACAGGTTTCTTTGGTCTCCCAGATGTGGCTGAACTACAGCTCCCATCATCCCCGGCCATTGGTCATGCTGGCTGGGAGTTGTGGTTCAACAACATTTGGAGGGTCAAAGGTTCCATGCACGTGGTCTGCATAGAACTGAGATCTGGAGACAGCTGTGTCATGGAATTCTATTCAGTATTGATCCAGAGTAGATTCCAGTGTATAGTTAGCGGAGTAAAACCTTAAACACGTTGCAGGATTCACAAAAAATAGACCAGAGCCAATTGTATTTCATCCAGCAGAGCTTTACTGCTACTGATGGCAAATGAGCATAATGGTCACAAGTCCAATACATTCAGGCTTGGCATTGTCCATAAGAAATCCAGTTGCGGAAGACTTACCGTAACTTAAACTTACGATGTTGTTCTTGTTGTTGTTTAGTCGTTTAGTTGTGTCTGACTCTTCGTGACCCCATGGACCAGAGCACACCAGGCACTTCTGTCTTCCACTGCCTCCCGCAGTTTGGTCAAACTCATGCTGGTAGCTTCGAGAACACTGTCCAACCATCTCGTCCTCTGTCGTCCCCTTCTCCTTGTGCCCTCCATCTTTCCCATCATCAGGGTCTTTTCCAGGGAGTCTTCTCTTCTCATGAGGTGGCCAAAGTATTGGAGCCTCAGCTTCACGATAACTTATAATAAATCTAAAAAACTTACAATAACTTATAACAAATCTAAACCTTAACACTGAGCATACTATGTACAGAACACCACCCCAGAAAAAAAGAGATAGAAAGAGAAAAGTGAAAACCAGGCTCCTTCTGGCCTTACTTTTAAAGTCAGCATGACCTTGACAGAAAAGATAACAGAACCAGTTTAAGCCTGCTGTGCACAGCTTCTCTGAAGGAATAACCCAAACATCATGAGCCTTCTGCCTGTTTCTTTCACACAGAGAAGCTTCCAGAACACTCTTGAATTAATTAGAATAGGAAAGATCTCTACACATCAGAGCAATACTTTCTGCACTAAGAAATGCAAACTGACAAGCTGGTCATTCTAGACAGGAGCCACAGGATGATGCAGAAGAGGGTGGTTTAGCAGCACTCAGTCATTCCTGTTCAGCTTTAATCTGGTATAGAAACTCTGCTTCCTGGCTTCTAATACTCTGTAGCCAGGATTTAGGGTGGTGCGTCCAGTCCCCTCCCCCCCACAGGGCGCTGAGCTGTTATTATTATTATTATTTATACAGGGATGTGGGTGGCGCTGTGGGTTAAACCACAGAGCCTAGGACTTGCCGATCAGAAGGTCGGCGGTTTGAATCCCCACGACGGTGTGACCTCCCATTGCTCGGTCCCTGCTCCTGCCAACCTAGCAGTTCGAAAGCACGTCAAAGCGCAAGTAGATAAACAGGTACCGCTCTGGCGGGAAGGTAAACGGCGTTTCCGTGCGCTGCTCTGGTTCGCCAGAAGCGGCTTAGTCATGCTGGCCACATGACCCGGAAGCTGTACGCTGGCTCCCTCGGCCAATAAAGCGAGATGAGCGCCGCAACCCCAGAGTCGGCCACGACTGGACCTAATGGTCAGGGGTCCCTTTACCTTTACTTTATTATTTATACAGGTGCCTTCAGGGAAGATCAACTTAAAAGACAACTATACCAAAAGGAATTATTGTAAATAATAACAAACGCTTAGCAGAGAAGTCTCAAATGCTCAGGGTGCCCTATTACCCGCCCTGCCCTCCTCAGCTCCAGGGTCCCCACCAACTCAAAAACGCTTGTTGGACTCTTTGCAGGGCACAGAAGGAGAAAGGCTGACCCAGAATTCAACCAAAACGTTCCGCCTTCAACAATGCCCTCAGTGCTACCTAATTTTGTAGAAATGCATGCCTCGTGGGTCTCCCGTCCAACACACACAAACACAGTGTCCCCCAGCCTCACAATCGTGAAGGAGAAGGAGTCAGGCGTCAGTCTTAGCTGAACTCACTCTTGAGATATTCCTCAGACAATGAGGCCATTTTTTGATTTCCCTGGGCCTCCTCCCCAGCCAGCCTAGAAATCATAACTCTCTCACTCACTGGAACGTGCCAACAGATGGTGACCGGGCGGTGACTGGGAGAGCACATGACGACTCCCGCTGTGGTCATTGCGCCAATATGCGGAGGGATGTTTCAGCTGAGAGCTGTAGATGTCAAGAACTTGCTGGGTTCTCAACGAGTTGGCTGCCCCATTGACAAGTCTTCGGGACGTGCCCATCGGTGTTCCATATTCTAAATCAGCAGGTTCATCCTCATCAATTGGTGCAGTAGCCTGATTCATGGCCACGTGTTTTCTTATCCTTACTATATCCCAGCTTTCCTTCAAGGTTCCCCCTCTCCTCATTTTATCCTCAGAACAACCCTGTGAGGTAGCTTCGGCTGAGAGGTCATGACTGGCCCAAAACCAGACAGTGAGTTTTGTGGCCAAGAGGGGACTAGAACCCCCGTCTCCCAGGTCTTAGTCCAACACTCTAACCACTACACTATCCTGGTTCTCAATGGAGAGGTTAACAAATGGATAATAAATGCACTGATTAGGTTTGTTTTCCTATGAATGAAGCCAAACAGCGAGAGCAAGTGCTGTAGGAGAAATTCAGGAGCAAGCAGAGATGGCACCCTTCTGCCCCTTCCTCACCCAAGGGTGCAGCTAGGCAATTTCAGACCATGTACTTAAAGGTCTTACAGAGCCAAGGGAGAAGGGCTCTTTAAATGGCAATGCGGGTTACTTTACCTACATATACTTGAAGACAGGATGCCCAGAGCCACTTGCAAAAATCAGTGAAACTGTCCCTGCCCTTAGGCATATAAAGCATTCCTAATACACAATCCACGCTACCGAAAGTGGTTTAGGATATGGCGGAGATTTCCTCCCACTCTGCCCACAGGTGGTCTGTTGCAGAGTGTTTGAGGACCGGGACATTTGCAGGGAAACCAACATGCTTGTTTACAAAGCTATTGTACTACCAACCTTACTGTATGCTTGTGAAACATGGACCACTTATAAACGCCATCTCCAACTCCTCGAAAGATTCCATCAATGGTGTCTCATCACTTGGTGTTTACGCATCACTTGGGAAGACAGGTGAACTAATGCCAGTGTACTGGAAGAAGCAAAGATCACCAGTGTTGAAGCGATGATTCTTAAACATCAACTTTGTTGGACTGGTCATGTTGTGTGGGTACCTGATTACCGTCTTCCAAGGCAACTACTCTATTCCGAACTTAAAAATGGAAAGCGTAATGCTGGTGGTCAACAAAAGAGGTTTAAAGACTCTCTCAAGGCAAATCTAAAAAATGTAGTATAATCACCGACAACTGGGAAACACTGGCCTGCAAACGCTCCAGTTGGAGAACAGACTTTACCAAAGGTGTCGTGCGTTTTGAAGACACTCAAACTCCGGACGAAAGGGAGAAACGTGCTAAGAGGAAGGCACGCTTGGCAAACCCTCACAATGATCAACTCCCGCCTGGAAACCTATGTCCCCACTGTGGAAGGACGTATGAATCCAGAATCGGCCTCCACAGCCACTTACGCACCCCCGTTAAAAGTGTGTTTATGGAAGACAATCTTACTCGGCTACGAATGATCGCCAAAGAAGAAGAAGCATAGCCTCCAAGTGTCCCGATTTTGCTGGAGAACGGGCAAAGACAAGGAGAGGCTGAAGCTGCTGAGGCCCAGCCCTGATTATTCCTGTCCTCCTCTGACTATGTGTGCGCGTGTGAATTTATTTATTAAGCTCTACTTACAGATCATTTTCCTTAAAAGATCTCAAAGTGATTTACCAGCAAAATAAACATCAGCAATAAAAAGAATCACACCATTTCATATGTGAAAATACAATTAAAGCAATTTTGAAAACAAACTTTTTTTTCATATTTAAAAAATCAAGTCCATATCGAAGAAGAACAGAGACTGGGATAAAGGTCTCCTCTTAAAAGGCTTGCTGGAAAAAAGAAGGTTTTCGATAGTTGTTTTGATAGTTGCCAAAAATACAACGGAGACGTAGCCTGGTTAATATTCAAAGGGAGGCGGCGGTCCAAAGTATAGATGCCACACACGAAAGGTCCCATTCTTACATCATATGGAACAGATTCCCTGCTGAGATGTTGGAGCACAGTGATCAGTCGGGTACATAAGGGGTTATGGTACGATCTTTTACGGGACGCAGGTGGTGCTGTGGGTTAAACCACAGAGCCTAGGACTTGCCGATCAGAAGGTCAGCAGTTCGAATCCACACAACGGGGTGAGCTCCCGTTGCTCAGTCCCTGCTCCTGCCAACCTAGCAGTTAAGAAGCACGTCAAAGTACAAGTAGATAAATAGGTACCGCTCCGGTGGGAAGGTAAACGGCGTTTCCGTGCGCTGCTCTGGTTCGCCAGAAGCAGCTTAGTCATGCTGGCCACATGACCCGGAAGCTGTACGCCGGCTCCCTAGGCCAATAAAGCGAGATGAGCGCCGCAACCCCAGAGTCCGCCACGACTGGACCTAATGGTCAGGGGTCCCTTTACCTTTATCCTTATGAGTTGGTGTTTGGCCCCTTTGTGCTCAAATCTCTCGTGATGCTCTGTTACCATCACCCACCCCATTTCCATCCTGCAGGCTTCTCTTCCGCCGTCCTCCCCCTCCAAGTGTCCTTTATATGGATGAGCTCAGCTCCACATGGCTTTAGCCGGTCCCAAGGGCCGGTCCGTTCCAACCTTCAACCTCCAAAAGAAGCCAATCTGGAGTCCCCCGCGAATCGTAGCTTCTCTTTTATGAGAATGAGCTCTGGCACATACACACACCTCTCACCTTCCTTTCCTTTTCTTCCATCCAGGTTTGAGCCCCCAGAGGATCCTCGATCCCCTCACTGCTTCCCTCCCCCCCCTTCTTCCGGCGAATGGCTTATTAGAAACTTTCGTGGAACCTCCGTCTGTGACGTCAGGGTCTCCTTCCCTTCCTCTGTCCCGGGGGATGAGACACTAGAACAATACCGCACACCTGTAAACACCTTCCCCCTCTCTTCCTTTCTCCTCTAAAGTTTCTGCTTCCCAGAGCTGTCAAGACATAAAAGATCTTTTGTGAATGCGGGGAAAGGATTTGCCAGAAATGCAAAACTCAATTCCAACCACGCTGCCGTACATCTGTTCCGTACAGCTGGTCTCCAGTGCAGTGAGGGACTTGGGTGTGCAGGCTGTTTCCCCCACTCCCCTTTTCATTTAATCCCCCCCCCCCCTTTAACAAAACAGGAACATGCTTGGTGCCAGAAGTGAAGATCAGCTGTGAACTTGTCCTTGGTGCACAGGGAGTTTCACACCGAGTGGAACCAGGAGGTCAATTCTTGATTTTTCAGTTCAGCAGTTGGAGATCCTCTACATCTGAGCAGCTTTGTCTAGATACGGTACACACACACATTTGTTCCAGCTGCTTTCCAGGCCACCCACCGCCTCTCTCGCTGTTTGTAAATAAGAGGCTGCTATTTATGCCTCCCCCCACCGAAAACACTTCCCTGCAATGTCAAAAAACAACAACAGGTCATACATCTCATCGGTCATATTGCTGGTCAGGGAGGTGCTTATCAGAACCAGATTCAAGCAAGGGGTCTTGGGACACTGATAACTTTGGCACATCTCTGAAGCCCCTGCAGATTTTCACACGGTGTGTTCTGCAACAGGTCATTGATGCATTAGTGGTGGGTTAATAGTGGGCTGTCCACTCCTCGTTCTGCCTTATTAGTCCCCACCCCCATGTTACTCTTCCACTCTAGCACAGCAAAAGTAGGACCAAACAAGCAAATCCTGGAACATTAGTGGTGTAAACAGTTCCAGGATTAAAAACGAAGCATATTGTTGCCACAATCATGCGCCATCCGCCACTGTCCGCAAGATCCCAGAGAATTCCAGGCACTCACCCAGGGTCTGTGCTCCTTTGGAAAATTGAGACACAGCAGAGACTGCCGTAGCTTTAAGAAATATGGTTCATCCACCTATTTACACCTTCAGTCTGAGTTGAGGGAGTCCAGATCTTACAGCATGGTTATTTCAAGAGTGACTTGCCTCCCACAGCAGTGCAGCCAGCCTTCAGCCAGCCTGCCCAAGATGGATCCCGTTCTCTCTTCTTTCTTCTTCTTCTTCTTCTTCTTCTTCTTCTTCTTCTTCTTCCCAGAACACCTTGCTAAAAAAAAATAACCTCTCTTTTCTTGTCACCTCACACCCAGTTGCCCTGGCCACCTTCCAAACCCCCCATCTCTGTTCACACTTCAGGGCAAGGAGGGATGACAGTTCTCTTCCATTGCCAATGGCTAATAATAATAATAATAATAATTTTATTATTTATACTCCACCCATCTAGCTTGGCTAGGTCGTTTTGCATTTCCTACTTTTGGAATGGGGAAAATGGTAGGCATTGCATGGGTTTCCTATATATATAATTGACTGAATTATATATACAATTGAATTCCAAAACATTTGGGGTTAGGTTTGTAGAACTCAGTAAGGTATCATGCAGGAAACTAATATAAACAGCCCAGTCTAATGTTTACTTGGAATTAAGTCCCATTTGTGTTCAGGAGATCTTACTCTCAAGTAAGTTTGCAAAGAGTTGCAGCTGTGCAGCTGTGGGTGTGGGTGTTAAGAAGAATTTATTCTCAGAAGATGGGCTAGCACTGATAAAATCTAACATTCATGCCAAACTTTGCAGCAAAATTAACATTTTAAGGACCTTGGCAACCACTTGTTCCCTTTGTGCCATCAGTCAGTCAATCTACTGATCCTGTCAGGAGACCTCACAATAAAACTTACAGCTCAAGTTAACATGCAAAACTAGGGTGCAGAATGATCAATGATCTCTATTAACAGATAAGATCACTTAATTGCATTTGTTTGGGTGCCGTTTTTACTTGTATCTTAATTGCTCGAAACAGGAGTTTAGCTATGGTTTCTGTGACTCTGCTCTTATCTGTATCAGAGAAGCAGAGACATAATATTCAGGTGATCTTCCAGGATACAAAGTGATTGATGGATTAGTTAATTCTTTCCGGAGATCTTGATGGAAGTTACAAAACGGTAAGGCGTGGCTTATTCACGGCAACATTCACCTCATTATTATTGCTGTTGATATTTCACTTTCCTCTGAACCAAACAGCAGTAATAGTTATCTTTACATTCTCATATTTACAAGAAGAATGGCAGATGAAAGTGATGGACCATATGGAACTGGCTGAGATGACCGGCAGAATCCAAGATCAGGAAGAAGGGTTGATGGAAGAAGACTGGAGAAAATTTAAAATATATCTTCAGAAACACTGTAATATAAAAGAATGCTAGAAAAAGGTTGGAAAAGAATATTAGGCCGTATTGGCAGACAGGGTATAATGGAATAAGTAAAAATGAAGTGTAAAATGAGGATAGAGGAGAATTAAATACTTTCGAATGTTAAAATAAGTAAAAGAAAAGAAGGTTAGAAGGATTTGCTGGAGATACGATTTAAACTAGAATACAAAGCAGGGAGGTGAGAGGAAGTCATGGAAATAAGTAAAAGGGAAAAAGGTTGTAAAAGGTCTAATTTGATTTTTGTTATTTTTTACTGTGATTTTTTGTTTTTTCTTATTTCTTTTTTATTGTCTGTTCTTTGTAACATCTGTATGGTTTGTTTTTTCTTTAATTTTTTTGTAACTTTAAAATTGGAATAAATATTCTTAAAAAAAAAAAAAATACATTCTCATATTTACATGTATATTTCAGCTTTCCTCCAAGGAGCGCCAAGTGCCGTGTGTGATTCTCTCTCACAAACCCCATTTTATCCTCACAACATGGGTCAGCTTCAGAGAAAGTGATTGGCCCAAGGCTTTATGACCAAGTGGGGATTTGAACACATGTCTTCTTCCCAGTCCATCACTCTAACCCAGGGATTGCCAACCGGGCCCCTACCACCCACTAGTAGGTGCTTCAGGATTCTAGGTGGGCAGTAGGGGGTTCTTCGGCAAAAGCTGAATCCTCCTTCCGTCGAGCACTGGTGGCCGGTAAGGAAATTTTACCATCAAGAAGTTTGCACGAGTGGGCGGTAGGTATGCTTTTGAATTATGGTGCTGCAGGAGACTCGTGTGGGACGCGGGTGGCGCTGTGGGTAAAACCTCAGTGCCTAGGACTTGCCGATCGCATGGTCGGCGGTTCGAATCCCCGCGGTGGGGTGAGCTCCCGTCGTTCAGTCCCAGCTCCTGCCCACCTAGCAGTTCGAAAGCACCCCCAAGTGCAAGTAGATAAATAGGTACCGCTTTATAGCGGGAAGGTAAGCGGCGTTTCCGTGTGCTGCGCTGGTGCTGGCTCGCCAGAGCAGCTTCGTCACACTGGCCACATGACCCGGAAGTGTCTCCGGACAGCGCTGGCCCCCGGCCTCTTAAGTGAGATGGGCGCACAACCCTAGAGTCAGACACGACTGGCCCGTACGGGCAGGGGTACCTTTAGGAGACTCGTGAGAGTCCCATGGACTGCAAGAAGATCAAACCTCTCCATTCTGAAGGAAATCAGCCCTGAGTGCTCACTGGAAGGACAGATCATGAAGCTGAGGCTCCAATACTTTGGCCACCTCATGAGAAGAGAAGACTCCCTGGAAAAGACCCTGATGTTGGGAAAGATTGAGGGCACAAGGAGAAGGGGACGACAAAGGACAAGATGGTTGGACAGTGTTCTCGAAGCTACCAGCATGAGTTTGACCAAACTGCGGGAGGCAGTGGAAGACAGAAGTGCTTCGTGTGCTCTGGTCCATGGGGTCACGTAGAGTCGGACACAACTAAATGACTGAACAACAACAACAAAGGTATAAGAAGGTTGACTAGTAAAGGTAAAGGGACCCCTGACCATTAGGTCCAGTCGTGACCAACTCTGGGGTGGCGGCGCTCATCTCGCTTTATTGGCCAAGGGAGCCGGCGTACAGCTTCCGGGTCATGTGGCCAGCATGACTAAGCCGCTTCTGGCGAACCAGAGCAGCGCACAGAAACACCATTTACCTTCCCGCCAAAGTGGTACCTATTTATCTACTTGCACTTAACATGCTTTCAAGCTGCTAGGTTGGCAGGAGCAGGGACCGAACAATGGGAGCTCACCCCGTCATGGGGATTCGAACCGCGACCTTCTGATCGGCTCTGTGGTTTAAACCACAGTGCCACCCGCGTCCCTGCTCTAACCATTACGCCATTCTGATTCTCCTTTTGAAATAGGATGCCCACCTAATTTTGTGCCACCGCCAACCACATTCCTTTCTTTACAGAGAGGCAAATCTTGGGGCACTTCCAGAGAACCCATCTATTCAGCATTCTTCCCGATGTGTGTGCTGGAAGTTTGATACATCGTAAAAAGGCAAAGATGGCAACATGCCATCAGAGAGTAATAGTCATATAAAGCCCATAAAAGCAAGATACAGCATGCATTTTAAATAATCGGAGAAAGAGAGGAGAAAAGAAGGAGAAAGGTGTAGAAAGGTTAGAAAAGGAGAATCATAGAATCGTAGCGTTGGAAGAGACCGTGAGGATCATCTAGCCCAGGGATGGTGAACCTTTTAGAGACCGAGTGCCCAAACTGCAACCTACTTATTTATCGCAAAGTGCCAACACGGCAATTTAACCTGAATACTGAGGTTTCGGGACACGGGTGGCGCTGTGGGTTAAACCACAGAGCTTAGGACTTGCCGATCAGAAGGTCGGCGGTTTCAGTTTAGGGGGAAAAACGACTCATACATTAGCATCTTTGGTCCTAAAAGAAAAAAACAATAACAGAGCTTTCAATGACACAAGCAACTTTTTATTGAAAGGTAAAAGTTTGCATTATCCTTCTTTGGGAAATCATGAAAAAGGGAATTACTTCCAGAAAACATTTTGATGATTTCCCTTCAAGAAACTCTTCTTTGGGAAATTTCAAAGTACCAATATAATGAATTGGGGGGGGAAATGTTTAAAATAACTTTTGTAAAAAAAACAAACCCAGAAGCCTTTTATTAGGAATTGTAGGTACCGACATTCCAAAGGAACAGAAAAGACTTTTCATGTATGTGACAACAGCAACATGGGTGCTACTAGTCCAGAGATGGAAAGAAGACAAAGTCCCTACCAGAGAGGAATGGCAAACCAAGCTGTTGGCCTATGACAAAATGACAAAACTGACCGGAAGGCTCAGGAACCAAGAAGACCAAAACTTCAACGAAGAATGGGAAGAATTTATAATTTATCTAGGAGACCACTGTAAGCAGATGAAAACCTTAGCAGGATTTTAATAACACTTGTAGCCAATATTATGGATAATATGGAAAGATAAAATATGGAGTATGAAATAATATGCAGTTGAGAAGGTGGACAATAGGATCCATGGAGAGAAAGGTGGGAAGTCCAGAGATTTGGAGAAATCTCTAAATAGGGAGATGTAATTTGGATTGTTATAATTCTATATTTGTAAAATCAAATAAAAATTATTATATATGTAAAAAGGGAGGCTTGGGCGGTGGTGAGTTGGGACGGCACCTTCCCATTTCATACCGGGTGACAAAACAGGATGGCACTGTCCTTGCCCATCCCTCAAAAATACCATCTAAGAAAAGGAGAGGAATTCCTGCAGCAGGGCGCTTTCCCTCCCCTCCCCTTCTTGAATGTACACTCTGTAAAATGGAAGACGCTGCAGTATGAGGAGACCAGTCTTATAGCACACAGTCAACCCAAGGGGAGGTGACGATCTTCTTGTCATTGCCCCAGTCCCATCCTTGAAACTACAGTCTGTAAAGAGGAAAGAAGGAGACACTCTAAGCAGAACAGGACAGAACTGCCTTCTACTGAGTTCATTCACAGGGCCTGTTAAGTTGTGGGTGAACATATCGGAAGACACAGCGATTCTTCAAACAGCTCTGGTTTATTCACAGGCCAGAACGGAACTGAACTGAAGGGTTCAGTCAGCTTGCTTATATAGAGCTCCAGTACAACGTAACTGTAACAATTTTCTAAAACTATCCAATCACTGAATGTCACTTTCAATCCCTTATTTGCATAACTATCTACAGTATCCCCCTGCTGGCCCAGGGTGAGAACTTCAGTACATAACAGGGCCGTCTTAAGCATATGCGGCACCAGGGTGCAAAGATCCACCCAGCGCCCCTAGGTTGCCCAGAGTTGTCGACCTTTTTTAGGGGGGGACCCCAAAGTTGTTGGCTTTTTTTAGGAAATAGTTGTTTACCTTTAGAACCTTTAGAACGGTTGTGGGACACAGGGACTCACAGCGCCAACCAAAAGGGTCTTTAACTGTTTGCAATTTATCTGTAAATATTCAATAAAGCATTTCCATTCTTTTATAAAAAGTTTGTTATCTTGATTTCTTTCTTTTCTTTCGGTAAGTTTCACCATATCTGCATATTCCATAAGTTTCTGTATCCATCCTTCCTTTACTGGGACTTCTGCTTCTTTCCATTTTTGGGCAAGTAACATTCTTGCTGCTGTAGCCACATACATACATAAATTTCTATAGAGTGTGGGTAGTTCCAGTGCTTTTTTCTGGGGGGGCGCAGGGGTACGCATACCCCTAAACATTTTGTGAATCTAAGTTTGGCCTCATTGAGGGGCAGTATTTCAATATGAGTAGGAAAATGAGAGTACCCCCGTTATGTGCCAGCGTGGTTGCTCGAGAGCGAACAGGCAAGACTCCCACCCGTCTTTTCCAGGCTTTATTATCTGTACAAAAACATTTACAGTGCAGAGCGTCTCAAGTCCATGTCTGCTCAGTTGCTAGCAGAATCTGGGAGTGGGCGGTCCTTAAACCTTCCCCAGCATAACAGTCTTTTGACCCCCAGCCTTCTCCTCCCCTCTCTGTGCGCAAACCGACTGCGCAGAGAGGGCGTTGGCAAAGGGGGACTTACCTCCCCGCCCCTTTGCTCAGGCTCAGTGTTGCGGCTCTCTCTAGCATCTTCTGATCCCTGCATCCCTTCCCCACTGGAGGCGGGGCTTCCCTCCTCGCCGGAGAAAGAGCTGCTTCGCCAGTGTGGTGTAGTGGTTAAGAGCGGTAGACTCGTAATCTGGGGAACAGGGTTCGCGTCTCCGCTCCTCCACATGCAGCTGCTGGGTGACCTTGGGCCAGTCACACTTCTCTGAAGTCTCTCAGCCCCACTCACCTCACAGAGTGTTTGTTGTGGGGAGGAAGGGAAAGGAGAATGTTAGCTGCTTTGAGACTCCTTCGGGTAGTGATAAAGCGGGATATCAAATCCAAACTCTTCTTCTTCGCACGATCTTCGGAGGCTCCCTGTAACACAACTCCCCTTCCACCTCTTGCCTCTGAGCTGAGGGCAGTTCCCTGAGAACCCCTAAGCATTTTTTAAGAAAAAAGCACTGGGTAGTTCTACCCGAATGCACTTCTTTCACGTCCTTGTTTCCTCACCTCCCCCACCCCCAATTAAACAGTCCAAGATGCTGTAACTTTTTCTCAAAAGGGAGCCGCTCCTACGCCTTGATCCTATCAATGCGGCTTATGCAGGGGAACTTTCTGCCAGATTGTGGGATTCACGAAGGTATGTATTTACAACGAGGGCAGGAAACATTTTTTGGCCCAGTGGATCAATTCTTTATCTCCCCCCACCCTGCAGACTGAACCACTTGCCATTCATCTGTCAAACTTGCCTGCGTGGGGTCTGCTTTGCTCTCCAGCTGAGGAGTGGAGGGTTCAATCCTGCGCAGGTGGTGCTGTGGTCTAAACCACTGAGCCTCTTGGGCTTGCCGATCAGAAGGTCGGCAGTTCGAATCCCCGCAACAGGGTGAGCTCCCGTTGCTCTCTCCCAGCTCCTGCCAACCTAGCAGTTCGAAAGCACACCAGTGCAAGTAGATGAATAGGTACTGCTATGGCAGGAAGGTGAACGGCGTTTCCATGTGCTCTGGTTTCCGTCACGGTGTTTTGTTGTGCCAGAAGTGGTTTAGTCATGCTGGCCACATGACCCGGAAAGCTGTCTGTGGACAAACGCCGGCTCCCTCGGCCCAAAAGCGAGATGAGCGCCACAACCCCATAGTCGCCTTTGACTGGACTTAACCGTCCAGGGGTCCTTTACCTTTACCTGGCATGGGTCTGCTTCACCAGCATGTTTCTCACAGGGAAGATGCTGGCAAAGTAATAATAATAATATAATATTAATATCCCACCCATCTAGCTGGGTTTCCCCATCCACTCTGGGCGGCTTTGAACAAAATATTAAAAATACAATAAAACATCAGACATAAAAAACTTCCCTAAACAGGGCTGCCTTGAGATGTCTTCTAAAATTTTGGTAGTTATTTTTCTCTTTGACATCTGATGGGAGGGCGTTCCACAGGGCGGGCGCCACCACCAAGAAGGTCCTCTGCCTGGTTCCCTGTAACCACACTTCTCACAGTGAGGGA